GTCAGGTTATAAAGTTTCAAGGGTTTTCAAAGATTTCAATGAATCAAGGTTCTCTGGCCACCCTATTACTCCAAGTGTTTAGCATTAAACTTTATCAGATAGCATCAAATAAGTTTCCAATGATTTCTTGTTCATACTTTTGAATAATGGATGGTCATATCTTAATTTAAACATGAAAAATGTCCATTAAAAAAATGGAAGTTTACGACCAAACTGTACATTCTCTCACCAAAAACTCATGACCAAAACTAAGATCTAAATATAAAGTTAAGATATGTGTCTTTAATTTAAGTTATGAAATGTGTGTTCATAATTCAATCTTCTACATCTGTAATTTTAATTGAAATCCTAATCTAATGATCTTCCAAAAATGATTCAATTGATTAATTAAAAAATTTAACCAGGATACATTGTATTAGCAAAAACTATCATTTCCAAAATCAAAATATATAATTTAACTTCAATAAAATAAAAAAAATTACAATAAGAAAAGAGTTATTCTAACAGTAAATAATAAGCTCAAGGGGCAGACACTTTTGCTTCCATGTTATATACGTATACTGTTTTGAAATACCTGAATTGCAGTATGTATAATTTATTTTTATCTTCGATAAATGCCTTCAATTACACAGTATACAACAAACACATCAGAAAATGTGACCCTTCAATAAAACTAAAAATATGAAATGAAAGGAATTAACATTCAGGTAGTACTTGAAAGTTTCAGGATGACATTTTCTCCAAAAGAGCACCATACAACCCACATAACATAATAAAAAGCACTGCAAAAAATTGACAACACAAGGATGTCTATCCAATTACCAAAGAAACTTAATAGTATTCACAATCTAAAAATCTAATAAGAAAAATGTGGACAAAAGTAAAACAAAACGAGGAAAAAGAAACTCTGAAATTTACAATTAAGACCAATCGAATAAGAACTACTGCAGCATATTAACTAGAAATGGATTTGTAACACATCAATAAAATAAAAAATTAATTGCCTTACTTTCTTTTTATTTTTTTGAAGTAATTTGAATACTTTACAATATTTGAAGAGTACATTGTACTTTTATTATCTAAGAGAGATGTTATTTAAATAAACAGTAATTAAAAAGCCGAAACATTCAGAAAACATTTTAAATTTTGGTAATTTTTGTAAGCAATGAAAAAAGGATTTACGGCAGAGATGATATGAAATGTATAAAGCAAATATAAACTAACAATAAAATACACTATTTGTGGATCATTACATTTAATTATGAGTACCAACTAACAATATCATTAAAAATATTTAAATACAACCTTGAAAAAGAAAGCTTGAGCACCAACTTTAAATAAAAACAGAATTAACATGTCAGTTTTGGTAGTTAAAATGGAAGCAAACGGATCTCTGCTCTGCTCTAGCCAAGAGCAAAGGGATGCCCCTGGCATGTTAAGTCCTCTTTTTCTATAAATGAAGATGAAACTCAAGAGGATATGCAAATTGCTATGAAGTGTAATTCAAATTTTAGAGATATCTGAGAAAGTGTTAGAGCCAGAATGAGTTCACACATAGGCAACACTGAACCTGCCCCTGCTTCCAGGAATCTGAATCCTGGCTGTGGTGAAGGGTGTCAATCTTCACATTAGTATTTCAGATATATTAGGTCAAAACAAATTACATCACAGACATCACATCAACAGTACAATCCCTAAATAAAAAATCTAGGGATACAATCTCTTACAAAATTCATACAAAAATTGCCTGAGAAGCTACAACAGCTACATTAGTTATAAATCAAATGTACCAATGGAACATTATGTATAGCAACTGCATAATAAATGCAGAGCATGTCGAAGAGTTACAAGTACAATGCAGTGCCTCCCAATGTCGTTATTTTCAGCTACACTAATTCAGGCACCTGTCTAGGGCACTGTAAAACATCATTACTCTCATTCTTCTTACAAGATTACCACCCATGTAGTTATAAAATGAATTTCATGAGTGATTGACACTTCACAGAAGAAACATCTACTAAAATGATTTAACAAGATAAACTGTTGTATCACACTCCACAACAAAAATATTACTACCATGATCAATAAAGAATATTAAATCAGCACAATGCTCACAATGAAAAGATTCAAATTTTATATTACACTCAATTCAAACTTTGAAATAAGAAGAGTCAACACCAACACAAATTATTCACCCATTGAAATATCAATCACACATTTCAATTTTGAACTTCACCGCAAGTTACGAAAAAGATATAAAATTAGCTATTCAAAAGAGTTCATTGCCCTTCCTTCATTATACATTAATAAAGAACTAAGAGACTACTTGTAACAATTATAATTATAATATTTGAAGGCAAATATTCACTGAAACGTAGAAGTTCACACTCACATTTCTTGGAAAGTACGTTAGCACAAGCAGGACGGCTCAGTTACATCATCCGGTGGAGTAATTTTAAAAGACTCAGTGTCTATGGACTGCAGCTCCAAACGTGATCGATTTGATTCTACTAAATGTTGAGCAATATCTGCAAACATTTCGTCTACGCCTTGACCGGTCTTGCATGATGTTTTATAAGTTGCACTTATTAAGTTGTGGCATTGTTCACTGGAAAATCAAGAACAGTATGGTTCAATAGTATGATTTACAATAACAAAAATAAACAAATTTGAATGCATAACAACTAGCAACTCACCAAAAATGCTCCATATCATTTTCGGTAACTTGGGGAGATTGCCCTTCCAAATCAGACTTATTTCCACACAAAAATATTTTAGCATTTTCTGCATATGTCACAATATCAAGAAGGTGTTGAGACAGAACATGAAACGATGCTGGATTGTCCAGGGAAAATACTAAAATTGCTGCCTCAGCAAATTTATAGTAACTTGATGTAATGGAAGCAACCCGTTCCATGCCCCCAGTGTCCCAAAGCTGTAACTGTACAAAAATAAAAAATATACAATGTGCATTATGATTTGAACAAAACAAACTGATAAATTTCTAAATAAAGCATTACAATACTCACTCTAATTTCCTTTCCTCCAACATTATACTGCCGGTCAAAATGATCTAGGCCTAATGTTGACTGCCTGTCTGTTGCTGTCACAAATGTATTGGTAGTATAGCGACGAAACAATGAACTTTTCCCTACACCATACTCACCACACAAAATAACTTTCTGTTCTGGAATTTTAACAGATGCCATTTGTACCTAGTCTGAAATAAAAAAAAAGTTCCACAAATAGATATTGATTTGTAACTCAACATAATTCAAAAATAATTATATTATCTTCTGTGGAACTACATTTAGACATTAATGTACAAATAAAAACAATTACGAAACAAGTTTTCATAAAAATATAATTAAAATCAAGGAAAAGAAAATTGCAAGTGGAACTTGGTTGAAATTAGGCAATTGGCAAGGTACGAATGATGAAAATATTGTATAGTAGATAAACAATTAATCATGTTTTGTGCCAATGAAATCCTTATATTCTTTATTCTATCAACATGGATTCACTCATTTTAAACAACTCACAATGTATTACATTTACAGGTACAAATCCATAAACAATGTAATCCATTTTGTCATAAAGAAAAAGTATTGTCTCGGTTTCGAATATCATGTTTTCAGTAATCTAACAATTCATTTCACCAACTGGCTTTATTCTGTGAAAGTTTTACTACAGTTGACATTGAACTAGCTCATTACACAAAATATAAACGATCTATTGTCAAAATATGTCTAATGATATTTACTGACGTTTTCTCTGACATATCAATGAAAATAATACTTTTCGCTTTACACATCCATTAATTAGTGCAGGTAATGGGAACAAGGATCACAGAATTAAATAACTTTTCCCACACTCGTCAGCTCAACTACTTTTCGTAGAATACTCTTCAAATCGAGCACCTTTTATTCCAAGCAGGATAAAAATCGTTTGAGCAATATCAAACAGATCTTCACTGGATCAAACTATTCCATTTTCGTTTAACTGCAGCTAAACTCGTATTTTCCTATCAGTTCTTGTTTCAATCAACTCCCATCAACAACACACCACAAATTGGACTGAAGTCGATACATGTACGTCGATTCGTACTTCGAGATTCATCTGGAGTATTAGTTTCGAGTGTACTTAGGTGAAGAGTGTGCTATGAACCATTTATAACAATAACAATGTGAATTTGAATTAGGCAAATTTTGTAAAGTTTATTTAATGTTTTGATTTTATATTCGAAAATTATGTGCCTACTCATACTCGTATATGAATGTAGTGATTCGCGAAGTTGTTACATTAATATTCAAATTACATAACCTATACTTGTCATAACCTCAGTTCTAATAATGCAGTCTGCCTCATTTATTGAATTTATCGTACTGGGTGTCAGCAATGTCAAAGCTTCGTTCAATGACAGTCGTCACATTTCATTTTATAAATGACACGTGATTGTTTGTGTTCGTTTCGTCATTGTATCCACTTAACCGAAATGGAATTACTCCAGTTTGTGGAAAACTCTAATAGCTTTGGCAATATTGCCAGTCTTGGCCCGCAGTGTATTGTATGTAATTGTGGATCTCTTAGTACTTATGTTGACCTTGGTTTAATGACTTCTGTTACTAGTCAGACTGAGACCCCTTTAAAAGAAAAAATTAAAAACATTTTAAATAACAAGTGGGTTTCTGGGATATCAGAAACAGCATTTAGTCTTTGTTTACAATGTTTTCATTTGGTTGATCAGTATGACAGTTTAGAGGCACAAATGAAAATTATACATAATGAAATATGTAATAAATATGTTAATGGTCATGGTATTATCCACTCTGTTCAAACTTGTGAAAAACCTGAGTCACAGCATTGTATTGCAAGTGCGGTGAATGGAGACAGGACAAAACGAACAACTTCATCTAAAAGGACATCAGGAAGTAAGAGAAAGAAAGCATCTTTGGATAACATCCCTACTTTACACGCACAGATTGTGCAGGTACTAAATTTGATTGTTATATCAAGACCAATTACAATATTGTAGTTGTTATTGGTTATATTATATACAAAATAGAAAAGAAAATAGTATACAATTGAAGTGTAGTGAATATATAACTGGTTAATAAGTATATACTATCTCTGTTTAGCATGATGGTTAAGTAGAGTTATTTAAGTTCTGCATGATGCTTATAAAGAAATGCGCATGCCACACACATTTTGTAATTTGTTTCAATTGTTTTTTTGCTCAGTTTTTTCACTGGGATTTTTCTTTTTGTTGTTTACTGATGTCATTGTTATTGTAATATTTCAAATGAATTTCATGCATAAATTGATACTCCTTAGTATCTCTAATTTCAATTATCATAATGGATGCTTACTGCAAAAAGAAATTTATTTTAGAAATGCAATGTGAAAATTTGGTTTTTTAGTATTACTTCTCCCATTTATGTTAAGTTCTCAGTGAATAGTTCAATTATTCACATTGTTAAAAAATTTTGGTATTTTCCAGTTGTATTTTCTTTTTGTGATATATTGGTGAAATTATGGCATGGACAATCATTTAAGAAAGTATGATATAATGCATTACTCTTGCTAGCATTCACCTCTGATTCTTGAAAGGCCGAATTTATAATGAATGACGCCTATCTATGACGAAATCTATTGGAGAAAACTGAAATTGTACTTCTGGCTGTACGGGAACATCGTATTATGTATTTATGCTCTAGCATGGCGTACGTGCCTAAGTACACTTTAATTTCTTACCCAGTGGACTTCGCTCAACCCATAACGGGCACACTGCCTTTTCGGCCCAATCCTCTTTGTCAGAGGCGTGCACAGTGCACACAGAAGGGGGCAGAGGGTCATTGAAGATTTCGAAAGGAGCCCTGTAGTCCTACGCAATAAAACATTTTATTTCCGAAAATATGTTCAATTCGTTATTTTATCCCCTTTTAAGCTGAAAATTTGGGGGAATTGATACTCATTTGGGGAAGAAGCTCTCCTAACCATCTGGCAACTGTAAATGGTTCAACACCAAATGCATTTATTGATAGCGTCGTTAATGGAACTCATAATGGAAGTTACGTTCACCGTGGTCACTAAGCACCGACAGGCTGACATCCAGATGCACTGGAATGCAACATTCTCGGGGGCGTCTCCCCAATGAAGCCTTCCAGACGCACGAGATCATTGCGAGACAGGTTCTCTAACATCAAAAACTAAATTTTAATCCGTGTGAATAGAAACTGTAGTGGAAGTTTCGATTTCAGTTTGCTATTTCTATTACGCATTTTTGTTTAATCTCGTTTATAATACTTGAGATAAAAAGGAGTGTAATTTCTGATTAAATAATGTAGAACTGCACTTCAGATTAGAATGTTATAGCGAAACTTTTGAAACGAAACCTGTGACTTTCCTATGTTCCTTCAATTGGTTTGCATGGAATATGACTCAATCGCTTCACTATGGACGTAAACGCTATCAAATTTCGCGCGGTTTTGTGCTCCGCGACCACTGGCCAATCAGAGTGGCCGGTGTCGAATGAATGACATGCCGTTTCCTTACGCCTCCCAGCCAGGATATTTTAATTCCCCGCGGTACTTCTTTATGTGCCACTAAAACACGAGGTCGCATCCCGCTCGTGGGAGCTGAACTGAGACAGGAAGGTGGCGTGCCGCGATAAGGAAACATTATTTTTGAGGTACACCACCTTGACGCCAAGGCAGCTCGCCGCTTGACCTTGTGACAGTTCGCACTGCCGAAACGGAACCCCTCCCTCCGGTTTAGGCTTGTAGTTGCCGCCGTTCTCCGGTAGTGTTGACATTATTAATGAATATTGAGGTATGACCAATATCTTAAAACAGAAAAAGAGTTATTCATTACAGAGTTAAGAATATTTATGTCAACGGCTAGGTGAGCCAAGGGCAATATCTGTTGCTCTGCAGCGACTCTTGATTTTTCGGGAGATGCAGGATTTGAACCCAGAGCGTGGCGGAGTTTTGGACACTAGCTAAATATTGACATTTTTAACGGCCAGCTGCTCTGAACTGTACTTTTTAGTGGTTCCGCCGATCAGTACCTGGCGAATTCAGGAACAGTACCTTAACAAACGAGCCACAGACCGCGCGCGATCTTTCCTTTTCCCTCCTTGTACCCACCTCTCCCAAATCGCCTTAATACATATCGCGGTCAGATTCCTTCTCGTCTGCTTTCCAGTCGATGCCCTTTACACATTGCCCTTGGCAGAGGCAAAGCCCCATTGCATCCCGACCGGTGTTATTCTACCGACTGAGGTGGCTCAGGGCATCAATGGATACTCCTGCAGTGTCTCTGATCGGGAAGTCCTAGCGTTCGAGTCCCGACGATGGTAGGATTTTCGGCACCAGCTAGGTCGAAGTCAGCTGCTGTCTGAAGGAGAATTCAAGCGGCCGGCTGCTCTGATCGGTAGTATCTCTGATCAACACCAGGCGAATGCCGGAACAGTGCTCGGGAGACCAGTCAGGAGCTTAGTGCTAGAGCTTGTCCCGGCTGGGGCGGTTCCCCGCTGGCGGGAGATACCTGGTTGGGGAAAACTCCGCGAGCCGACTTGTCAGGTCTCACCTCGCGAGAGAGCGTTAACATCTGGGATGCAACGAGACCGCCATTTTGGAGAGGGAGACAAGAGGTATAGAAAATCTCGACTGCAAGATGCAATCGGAATATGTTCGTTGCAAGAGCAACCGAGCTGCCACCTCCTACACTAATTCGTTGCATGCAGTCTGCCTGGTGTGTAGCTTAGGTTTGGATGGATGATCAACCTACGATGCCCCTAATAGTACTAAAAATGTATACACATGCAATTAAAATAAATATTAATAGTTATTTATACCAATTTAGTCATACTCGTCTATGGGTGCGAAACGTGGGTTACTACATCAAAAAAAGAGAATAATCACAGAAGAAATGCGATTCCCGAGGTACGTCAAGGACTGTACATTAAAAGTCCGACTGAGAAATGAAGAAATAAAAAAAGTTGGTAAAGTCAGCACAAAAGACGAACTAAAAGTCTTTAAAAAACTGGCTGTATCATTTGAAAACGATTGACAATGAGAGGTTGTCCAAGCAAGCGTATTATTAACCGCCAAACTGGAAAGGAGAGGTAAGAAGACTCAAGACGAGACAGTCTTCGCTAATGAGTGCCAGAAACGAGCTAGAGTTGCCTATTCCTTGCTGATGGAGATGATAATGATAGATATGTAGAGCATTATGTAAAAGTTTTTGGGGTGTGGTTCGACTATGTGAGCTTCGAGTTAGCGTGGTTCACGTTAATTTTTCTAATTGAAGTCCTACGCCTTGATTTTATTGTTTTCGTATTTCTTAAATCAATCGAATTCATAAAAAAGTGTTATTTGTGGGTTTGCGAGCGAACGTAAAAAACTCGAAAGGCCTGTGCAGGAATAGTGGCTTCTGACATTTGATCAGCTAGAACGTGGTAATCTAATCGGGAGCATCAATTGCAAAAGTTAAGCCAAAGCGTCCAGCTGATCAAACGTGAGATGTCACTTCATTTAAATCGAAGTACCGTCCGCTTGTGGTTTTACCCTGTGTTGACTGAGGGGTTCGTGAACCACTCTGTTATTGGATTGATTGCTTAATTATTACGGGCGAGACTGCTACTGTTACGGTCGTTAGTCTCGTAAGGGTAGTGCATGTTTTATCGCGGGAGGGGGCGATCGGTGATCTTCCCCCGCTGGATGGCGAGATCTGGCGCCGATCTACGTCGACTTGCGGGGATTTTCACCAAACCGGGTATCTTCCACCAGCACCGGGCGGCACAGCTCCAGCCGGGACAACTTTTAAGGCCCATTCACAATGCAAACGCAAACATAAGCATAGCGCGTAGACATATACATTAACATAAGCGATAGACTGAAGTATTCACAATGCCTAACATAAACGTAAGCAAAATACGTTTCTATTGGCTGTGAGACTTTCTGGTTGGGTGTGAGAATCGATTTCAAGATATCGACTCTATGTCCCATATGGCGTTAGTTCTGCTATCGACTTCCCTCCATTTTCGATTCTCGATTTTGAGTTACCTTTCTGTGATTTCTTATGTCTTCCGTAAGCATAAGCACAGAAGCTTGCAAACTGTTAAGTTAACGTCTTACGTGTTATGCTTATGCGAACGCATTGTGAATGAGTCCGCTTATGAACGAAGTCCTAACTTTTATGTCAACGCCATGCTTATGTTTACGTTTGCATTGTGAATGGGCCTCTAAGCTCCTGACTGGTCTCTCGGCGTGTGTCGTGGTGTAGTGCATGTGAGTATGTGTGAAAGTAAGGAAAAGAAATAAGAAAGAAAGAAAATATCGCACGCGAACCGTTCTGTTGTTTGAGGGCTTAGCGATTCCGTGCGCGTCTACTGCTAAGGTCATTGACCTCGTAAGTATAGTGCATGTTTTCCTCGAGAGGTGGCGGTGAACATCCCCTGCTGGATGAAAAGATCCTGCAGAAACCTACCATCTAACGAACTTTCGCAAACCGGGTATCTCCTACCAGCGGGGACAAGCTCGAAGCTCCCAACTGATCTCCAGACAAGTGAAGTATTGTAGTGAATATGAGTGTATTGTAGTGAATATGTATATGTATAAGTAAGGTGTGAGGGCAGAACAAGAAAGAGGAAGGAAAGAGGCCGTGGCCCTTTTGTTAGGGTACTTTTCCGGCATTCACTTGGTGTTGATAGGAGAAACCACGGAAAACTATCAATCAGAGCAGCCGGCCTCTAGAATTCTCCTCCAGACAGTGAATAAACTCGACCTAGCTCTTAAGCTAGAGTCGAAAATTCTGCCACCGTCGTGTCTCGAACCTAGTCCCTCCCAGTCAGAGGCTCTGCAGTCGCCGTGTTGGTCGCAGCTGGAGCCGGAGGCGAAGCGCGACGCGGCGGACGCCCCGGCGCTGCTGCAGTGGCAGGCGACGCCCGTGGCGGTGTTCGAGGCGGCGGGGGCCGGGGCGGTGGGGCCGGGGGCGGAGCCGGCGCTGCCGCCGCCGCCGCCCCCGCTGCTCGTGACCGGGCTGCCCGTGGCGTGGCCCGGAGACGCGACGGCCGCCGACGCCTGCCCGGGCCTGCGCATCCTCACGCTGGAGAACCCGCCCGCGGCCCCGCCCCCGCCGCTGCCGCTCGCGCTGCCGGCGCCGGGCGAGGAGGAGTCGGCGGTGGCGCAGCTGGCGGCCGAGCAGGCGGTGGACGACCCGGGGCTGCCCGACGGAGGCGACGATGACGACGACGCCGCCTTCATCGCCCTGCCGCAACCGCTCCCCGCGGCCCCGCCCCCGCAGCCCACCACGCAGCCGCCGGTGAGCACTCAGCCTGCGCCTCGTGAAGAGAGAGAGGGACCGCTTTGGCAGCTACTGCATGGCCACTGCTGGCAACATACCTGCAGGTTATGTCCATGCCCTCATTTTGTCAGAGCGTACATTTACAGTTAGCTCATGTGTAAATGGCTTCATCACTATCTCTTGCAAAGCCATCGCCCTGCATGGCGTCATTTGTGTCCTGTGGTACCTTCTTAAAGTAACTCGTCTGTTCTCAATCGGAGCTCGAACGCTTAGGCCTCCCTCTCAGAGACACCGAAGTGCCGTCAATTCTGTGGTCACGGGGTAAAAGTTCTTAAGTCAGTTTTTGGCGAAATTGGGTTAAGTTCTGAAACTACAAGTTAAGTATCTATATTTTATTTTAGTAAAACGATCAAATCCAAATGTTGCCTCCTTAAAGACAAAAAAGCGTTGGGAAATACAGCTCCGCGTTTGGAAATATAGACAACACAATAATCTAACCCTTGTTTTATCGAAACTAAGATTTTTGACTTAAGAACTTGTACCTCGTGACCACAGAATTGATGACCTGAGCAGTAGCGTAACGGAATGAGCGCACGCCCGCTCGCAAAACTTTTGCCCGGGCCCCCTTTATAGAGCAAACACAAGTAGTGTTGAGATCTTAAATAATAATAGCATCCCATAACAATGTGCCCTCTTTTGCCCGGGCCCGAATGTTACGCCACTGGCCCTTAGCCACCCGTCATCAGTCGTCCTGTTTCGCAGCCGCTGGCGGTGTACGACGAGGGCGACGCGTGCGCGGCGGGGCTGCGCGCGGGCGAGCGCGTGCGCGTGGGCACGGCGCTGGGCGAGGGCGAGGGCCAGGGCCTAGCGTGCAGCTACTGCTCCGCCGCGGCCTTCCCCGACGCCGCCGCGCTGCGCCAGCACGCGCGCCTCGTGCACCGGCCTCGCGTGCTGTCGGCGGCGCTGCCGCCGCACCTGGGGCTGGGCGCGCGCGCCAACTGCGGCGTGGAGCTGTCGGCCGTGCAGCCGCGCCCGGGCGCCGCCCACGCGCGCCCCTTCGTCTGCATCGCGTGCGACGGCGCCTTCAAGTTCAAGAGCAACCTGCAGCTGCACTTCAAGGACAAGCACTCGCCGCACACGCCCTTCGCCTGCGCCGACTGCCGCGCCGCCTTCCGACGGCCCATCGAGCTGTCGCGCCACCGCGTCTACTACTGCCCGCTGCGCAAGCGGGCCCCCGACCCGGCCCCGCCCGCCCGCAAGCGGTAGCCTGGACGCCTCTCCTCCTTCATTTGGGGTTTGCTCGGTCCTTGCTTACGTCTCTCCTCCTCCATTTTGCTTTTCCTCTCCTCTTGCTTTCGTCTCTCCTCCTCCATTTTGTTTTTTTCTCCTTCCTTTTCCTCTCTCTTTGCTTTTACTTTGCTCCTTCATTTGGCTTTTCTTCGGCCCATGCTTTCTCCTTTCCTACATAATTTTGCTTGTTCTCTTTCCTTTGACTCTCTTCTGGCTTTCGCCCCTCTGCCCTTTTGCCCTTTTCTTGCTTTCACCTATCCTTCATTTGGTTATTCCTCCTTCCCCCTCTCCTTCTTTTGCATCTGTTCATTTGACTTTTCTTTCTTTCTTTTGTTGTCTCCTTTCTTCTACATCTTCATTAAGCTCTTCCTCCGATTTGCTCAGCACTTGCTTTTGCCTCTCTTTGATTTTGTTTTTCTCCTTCATTTTGCCTTTTCCTTGCTTTCACCTCTCCTCTTCAATTTTGTTTATCCTCCTTTCTTTTCTTCTCTTCTTACTTACTCATATCTCTTTCTTCATTATGCTTTTTGTCCTTCCTTTTCATCTTCTTCTTAGTTTTGCTTTCCCTCCATCCTTTTGCACTCTTTTACTTTACCTTCCTCCCAAATTTTCCTTATGTCTTCCATTATGGCTCAATAACCCATTAGGGGTCTGTGAAGTCCAGTCCCCTTTTGTTTATCAGGCTTCATTAGTAGAAGAGAGGGACCTTCAAAGTTTGGAGCCCCTTACCTTTCATGTACTGCCTCCTGGTTTGCGCTAGGAAGACGGTTTTGTGATTTTGTTGTGTTCTGTGTTCTGTGTTCTGTGTTGAGATCTCATAGTGGCTGATTATTGAATACCCAGTAGGAAAATTACCTGGAACTGTCCTCCAGGTACCATTTTGCAAGAGTTTCCACTGACTTGAAAAATTAAGTGACGGAAATTATGCAGTTATATGTTCGGGATGCAGCCAATTTACTTTACCAATTACATAAATCGACACATATATTATTTTCTTTACCAATTACATAAATTGACGAAAAACTGAGAACAGCAGGGGGAATTCTCTTTTCACTTCTCGATGACAAACTCCTCTGTGGAGAGGGCCCATGAGAATTTTGTTTCATTTTTCTGTTTTTGGTTGTTGTTTTTTTGAGAGGGGAGGGAGTTTCCCATCTGTCACTTGAGAATTCCAGTCATGCATTTTTAGATTAAGAGTAACGGAACATCTTCTTAAGTAAATTGTATATGTCAAGTCTTCCATTCATTTACTTTGTAATTCTAATGTAATTATACACAACAATAACCTGAAATGATTTTTGCAAGGTGTTGGGTATCTAAGCATTCCTTGTAGATCATGCAAGTGCTCTCCAATGAACTGTTCTCCATACATAATCCAACTTTGCCACTACAATATTACAAACATGCATCGAAATCATGTACCTCTTATTTGCCAACATGCAGAACATTAAGGTGTCTTGATGAATTAGATGTATCTGTATTTACGTGTAATATAATACAAATATGAATTGTATGTAAAGTATTTGCTGGAATACAATACTGTTAAATGATTAAGAAATAAAAATTAAAATATATCTTGAGAAACAAATCTTAACAAATAGAAAAATAGTTGTCTCTAAATATAAGAAACAGTTCTGTATTTTGGTAAGTGTTTTACTTACAATATTTGCTTTTATGGTACATTCTAAGAATGTTTATATGTACATTTTTGAGCAAAATAGACAATGTTGTCAAACCTGGCGAGTTCTATATTTTTCCCATTGCCTTTTCTCTAACCTAGTCTGTTGCTTATACATATCATAAATAATATCTCGAGAAGTGCTCTGATAGCCAGTAAATTCACTACTCACTTCCTGGCTATCACAGCTCTTTGATTGATATTTGATATGACTATTTCATGAATTACATGAATCAAATGAATGGTTTAACTTAGTTTACTGGTAATACTCTTGCTTAGCATTCGTTACATAAGACATGGACAGACACGAGTCAAATAGTAATTATAATTACACCCAAGATTATTCAAAGTTGCATATAGTTTTATAGAAAGGCATCTTTTAAAAGTTAGTGCACATTCCTATGGTTATCAGCGTTTTCCAATTTTTTTTTTTATTTTTATTTTGCTGATAACTAATTTTAGTAATGGAAGTGCTGTTAAGAACCTATAATATGGTAGTAGAAGCTGTAATTAGTGCTAAAAAAATTATGGCTTCAGATTATTATATCATTTTTAATTAAATTATTAATTAAAGAATTTATTGATCAATTGAAAATCGAATTAATTATAATAAAAAAAAAACTAGCTACACAAAAATTTTAGAAAATTTTCAAATAATCAGCTCCTTATTTCTTTCAGAGCCTAGTACTATTCCAAAGGAATAGATAATTAAGATTTCAGAATTGTGTTCATGAGGTTTGTAAACTGACAGTGTCATTGTTTTTTTCAGTTGTTCTTCAGGTTCTTCAGATATCAAAAACTGTTTTTCCTGATGATTTTGGTAGCCTACCATTCTACTTCTTTTACGATCTCATTCTTCATTTTTATTTGTTGAAGAAAAACAATTGCCTTTTGATTGAGATGAATTTTAAGGTAGTGTTCTCTGTCATCATTTGAAGACACCAAAGCAATGCTAGTACCCGCACAAAATTTTAGTGTAATCCAGACTTTTTAATGAATTTATTGGAGTTAAGAGCGCATGTGTACTAGGTTAAAAGAGATCAAGTTGTTGCAGATGTTCACTAATTCATCTGACAATCTTGGAAAACTATTTGATAAATTCTAACTTACAATGCCATAAAGAATTCTCAACTATCTTAATTTGCAATAATTACTATCTATATTTTAAAGCTGTGTGGACCAAATGTCTTACTGCGATGTTTGACTTCTAACTTATGTAGGTTGAGTAGAAAAACTTTATGAGAGTGTCTGTTTCTGTGATTCTGTTTCTAAAGAGTATTTTCAGCCTTTAAAGAAGGGAGCAAAAGCTGTGCTGTGTTGACTGTATTACTGTACTCTGCCCTAATGATGGGTAGATCTTCTAGTTAATAAATAATATTCATTAATAGTGAAATATGAAATTCATATAAAAACACTGGATGAAAATTTGGGAGAGTTGTGAGCCCTCATCCAAAGTTTTAACTTTAATTGCAGCAATTCAATAAAAAAATGGATTTCAATAAATTGAAGCTTCTCACAAAACAATGTGAAAATCTACTTTTTATGACAAGTCATTCATTATGATTTCTTTCTTATCAAAAAGTTCTTTATATTTTGTGCTTAAAATGATTAATTCTGATAGTTAAAAAGTGCACTTTCCTTAAAATTAATTTTAAATGAGCTTTCTTCACTAAGATTCTTTTCATTCAGTAAACATTATAACGTATAAAGAAGGAGTCAGAATATTCAAGATTATCAGACATTACATTACTTCAATTTTTCTAAGGATGGATTCGGTTAAGAGTATTCTGATCCAAGTTGTAAAATGCCAGGATAATAAGAAAAAATAAACCATCTTGAAAAATTTTAAGAAGAGATACATCTATTAATATAATACAAGTAAAGTTGGAATTATATGATTTTTTTCTCAAAAAGTAATGACTATTTGTGCTGGGTTCAAAATATTGTTTTCACCTCCTCAAAATGGGGTGCGATGTTTACTCCACTATGAGAATCAGGATCCCCATGGAAATAGTGAGAATATGCATACTTTAGTCACTGCCATTTATGGATAATATGTGAGCAAGAAGGCTTTTGCTGCCTTATCTCTAGTATTTTCTTACCCTGGAACATATTAGTTCACACTTAATTAACATGGATGTGTACAAATTTCTGTAACTACATGACAATCCTATTCTTTATCATTTAAATGTGCTCATAAATAAATGATCTAATATCCAGATTAATAAAAGGGAATATCTATGTGGGGAAAGAACATTTTGTTTTTCTCTTACTGATAAATTTAAAATGTAATAGTGGTGGAACATCAGATTGATCCGATTGATATTTGAAGATTCCAGATTGAACATCCAATTGATTTTTTGTGTAAAGAGCTCTAAAGGACAATCTAATATCTGTACAAAAGACTCTATAGTCTTTGAGTATGGCATAGTCAACAATTCTTAGGTGTATGTACACTTTTTCTATGAATCATTAAAACCTCTGAAAAACAATTTGAAAATTTATTTTATAACCAGTGCCATACAGTAAGTACAAAATGCTGTAGAAACATTCAAACAACTTGCAGCACATACATTAGTTACAAACTTCTATAAGTTCTAATTTACAACTGTACTTTCCAAATATTTTTTTTTTCTCCACTTTCTTTTATTTAAGATTTCTTTTACAAAATGGGACAATTTTTGTTTTCACTGACAGTTAAGTAGAAAGCAAGTCATAAAAGTAAAGTTAACATTTCTGAGTTGTTGTTATGAACCCAAATAGAAGGGAGATATAGAGAGTTTTGAAATGTATAATTTATGAGCTTAGATCATTGTAAATGGAAACCTGTTTTGCAGTTTGAAGATGATGCAGAGATATAATTTTGGGGTTCCAATGCTCTTTCTTCTTTTTTTTTTTTGGGGGGGGGGGGGGAGAGAGAGACAATTTTCCATGATCAAGAGTTGACTCCTTGAAGACATTTAGAAATAATACAAACCACAAATGCTTGTTCCTATATTTATCTTAAATGTAGGATAAGCATGATATGATTTGTCTGTAAACAAAACTACAACATCATACTTAATATGGCTAGGGTACACCAGATACTGAATACTTGCATAATATAACTGCAATGGTAATTAAGAAGTAAAAACTTAAACAATTTTTATTTTAAATAAAGGAAAACTAGTAGCTTAAATAATAATGAATAAGTTGAAAATAACATCAATATTGCTTTCAACTATTCATCAGAAATAATTATACAATTTTAAAATTTCTTTTATACTGATCATACATCAGTATTATGTATATATTGAAGGATTCAAGCTCTGAATATTTTTATCACAGAAATGCAGTCTGAAAAGACTTAAATCTTAACATTATTCCTTTAAAAGCCCACTCCTATTTATGTTTCAAAGAGGTATTGTCGAGTGAAATGGTCCCAGAAGTTCAGAAAGAGGAAAACTCCCTTTAAAATCAACACAGATAAAATATATCATTTTATCAACAACTTCAACAACAAATAAATGAAAAACAATGAACAAAAGACCCCACCTAAAATAACGATGATGATAATTGTGATGACCTTGGCATTTGCGATGATAATCTCAATTTCTAATAGTAGTGGTGGTTGTGATGATGTCTGTGAAAGAACTTTTCAGAACACAGAAGATCCAACCACCCAGTGTGAAGGAAAGGGGATGGTGAAAAGGGAAGGGAAGTGGGAGGAAAAGCAAAGAGAGGAGGAAAAGGGAAGGGAAGAGAAGAGAGGGAGAGAGCGAAGGGGACGGACGAACGAAAAAAGAGGAGGAAAGACAGGGAAGGAGGAATGATTAGAGGGGGAAAGGGAAGGGAGGAGGGACGAGAAGAAAGGAGGAAAGAGGAACGAGAAGAAATGAGGAAAGAGGAACGAGAAGAAATGAGGAAAGAGGAACGAGAAGAAATGACGAAAGAGAAGAGAGGAGGAAAGAGAAGAGAGGAGGAAAGAGAAGAGAGGAGGAAAGAGAAGAGAGGAGGAAAGAGAAGAGAGGGGGAAATAGAAGAGAGGGAGAAAGAGAAGGGGGAGGAACGAGAAGAGAGGAGGGAAGGGAGGAGGAAAGGGCAGGGGCGTGGGCACGCTAGAGGCGCAGGGAGCCGTCGAGGATCTGCCGGTGCAGGTCCGGGGTGAGCGGGCGGTAGGCGCCGCCCTGCAGCACGTAGAGGCTGTCGCCGGGGCCCACGCGCGCCGGGTCGAAGCCCTCGCTCTGCAGCTCGGTCTTCTTGAGCTTGAAGGTGCCGGTGAGCTGGAGGCGCGGCGTCACGCGCACGAAGAGCGGCCGCGCGTACCCCGGCAGCGAGCGCTCCACGCCGGCCGCCAGGCGCTGCAGGTCCAGGCTGCCCTCGGGGTCCTGCACCGCCACCATACCCGCGCGCCCCTCGGCGCCCGGCACCTGCGCCCACGCCCACAATCAGAAACTATTACCGTTCGGTGCCCCCCTCCCCCCCAGAAATAGTTTTCAAATCATTGGCGTCAAAAGAATTAAAAAAAAACAAACAAAAAAAACAACAAAAAAACAGGCGAACTGACGGACGTTTTGGAAACAACAACAACAACACTTTTTCGGTATCAAATGATCCCATAATGTTTATTCGCGTTGAAATTTCGAAATAGATTTTCCGCAGCATTATATAACTTTCTTTACAGTCCATATATTACCTCCGGGTGTTACTCCGCGTGTTACTTCGCGTGTTACTCCGCCTGTTACTCCGCCTGTTACTCCGCCTGTTACTCCGCCTGTTACTCCGCCTGTTACTCTGCCTGTTACTCCGCCTGTTACTCCGCCTGTTACTCCGCGTACGTATTACTCCGTATATACGTACGTATACGGGAAAGTAAAAACGATTATATTCATAATGGGAGAACTGATTTGTACGCGATAAGATCTATATGTGATAATTATTTTAAAGAAATTTAATGAAATTAGAAAAATGTTGGGTCCACCACTGTCGGCAACCAACCAAACCACTGCCTTATCCGCACCCTCGTCCTCGCCCTGAATTGTCCTCATTGTTCGCATCCTCGTCGCCCAAAGTAGTGACGAAACTAATTTATCGTATGGTACAGACATATCATACGCGCAATATCATATTAGTAGCATATATACATTTAAATACATATATTCAATTAATAGACAAATGTAATATTTAAAATGTATGAGTGCAAATTACTATATAGTAGTATTGTATTAATATTCAAGATGTAATATACATCATATATAAGTGGGACGAGTCCTAATCGGACGTCAAATCTCCCAGCCACCCTCGAGTTATGGAGCTGGTTGACAGAAATATTTATTATCTCCTTGATACGCCCTCAGCGTGCATTAGAGCACTGTATAAGATGTTTGTTTCGGACTGCCACAATGCAGTACTTTAATTGTAAAACTACAGCGTAGGGGATATTATAATGTTCCCAAAGAGAATCATGAAACAAAGTGAAGAAAGACCTCAATAACATTGATGTTGATCACTTCGAACATGAAAGTGTAAGTTTTGATTTGTTTTCTAATGTCTGTTTCCAAATTTGTTAGTTTGAGAAAGTCTTGCGAGTTAAAAAAAAACACCCCTCTCGTTATACGTTACTATGAAACAATTGAAAGAAACTACATTGTTAATGTGATCACAGATTATTGGATAAGTTAATTCCACAATTTCTCACCTCCACTCCGTAAACGGTGGCGTCTTTCAGATCAATCACATTACTAATGACCGCCTCCACTTCCGCTGTTGAAACGTTTTCCCCTTTCCACCGGAAAGTGTCGCCTCTTCGGTCTTTGAAAAACAGGTACCCGTATTCATCCATTACCAAGATGTCACCTAGGAAAGAGACACGTTTGTAACATTTACGTGGATACAATTGAAACAAAAAAATAATTTACAACGGGGCATCTTTCAGTCTTCAAACATTTCATAAAGTCAGAAAAAAGGAAGTCAGGAAGGAAGGTAAAATGAAATGTAGAAAACATACAAATCATACAAAATACCGTCAATTGTACATGCGTGTGCAGGGAATAGGGGGCGTGGCTCCCCTGAAAACTTTTATAGGGGCTCTGTAGCCTTGTGTAATAAGATATTTTATTTCCTTACCTTGTTAAACCACTGATTAAATATCATGAACTTAATGTACAAAAAATACACTTTAAAACCTACAGTGATTGTGACAAACGGTTTGACGTTTTACTCTATCCAACCATTCATGTTTGAATTAATATTATTACCTTATTGTCTAGAGTTAAAAATTTGAAACATTTGTCTGTTTACTCAATTCTAAAAGTCAGCAGTGTTGCACTGCAGTCATTAACACTATTATTCCTTATTTTCCAATAATTAAATGTTACCTATGCAGCAAGGGCGTTATAAGTGTTCTAATGACAAACTGTACCCGAAGGCCTTAGACCGAGGGCTTTTTATATTCAGAGATTATTAGGGCCAGTTAACCAAGTTCATACAAGGTTTTTATTTTTGCCTAATTTTAATTATTTAGATCAGGGATTCCCAACTTTTTTTAAATCGACCCCTTTTAAAAGAATTATTTGCTTCATAGACCCCTTCACTTTTTTCTATAATATCCAGCATGTAAAATAATAATAATAATAATAACAACAACACATACCTGCACATTACTTGATAGCACTTATTCAATATGTATACGTATATGAATAGAAGTACTGAAATAATTGTTTATTAGGTTTAAGTTTTATTATTTTTTGTATTATTATAATTTTGGATCTTTAGAAATACGGGCAAGTATTATTAGATATTTGAAACTGTATGCAAGAATTGTAATTGATAGTCTCTTGATTATACCGATCAGTTATCGACTCCCAATCGATCCCTTGATCATCATTGATCCTTTTTGAAATTTCATCGACTCCCAGCGGACAGATACCAACCCCGTTGGGAAACACTGATTTAGATTTACTCGATTACTAATTATCTAGATGTTGACAAGGTTTGTATTTTTCATATTTCCCTCCCATAATTCCCTTTCATAATTCTTTCTAATAATTATCTTCATTATGAAAACATGTAGCATCATTCAATTTTTGTAAAATGTGCTTTACGAAACATGTGCCACTCGACTGCAGAAAACTCGTAGAAAATAGTCAAATATATCAGAATAAACGTATGATTTTGAAACATTAGGGGTATTTCATTTCCAACTTAACATTACCTGATAAAAATGCCTTATCTCCCTTCTTGAAGACATCGCATATTATTTTCTTTTCCGATTCCTTTTTGTCAACGTAGCCGTGGAATTCACGAATGACATTCTTCTGGTCGATGATTCCGATCACCATGCCTGGTTCACCTGCGGAAGAAAATGCGATGGAACAATGAGAAACCACACACACAATCATTTCTTTTCTGTAAATATAGAAATATGCAACATTTTGAGGATGCATCCACATTTACTCTAAATCAATTCGAATGTGTTTGAAGTACCTATTTCAATTTCTTAAACTTCTTGGAATATGAGAACAATTCATTCTCTTTCAAAAAACACCTTGTAAAATTGAAAAAAACTTCTTCACAGTTTTTAATGGTCGGTATTTCACCCACTCACAGGAATGATGACCAGGTGTGCGGTTACTTTATTGAGTACAAAAGTGACTAAAAATGCTGTTTACGCGATTTTTTATTCACAAATTCAGAAATAATATCATCCACAGAATAAAGCTCTGAGCTCATCATTTTGAGAGAACATTATTGTTGGTGAATTGATTTTGTCTTGAACCATAGAAGCTCCTTACAAATTTTCAATCCTTTTAATTTTTCTAATTGATATTTTATCAGCACAATTTGTAATATTAAAGTTTAAAAAATTCGAAAGGCAACATAAACGTGTCACTCAAACAACAATGTTTGTGGTCTCATACGCTAAACGCTGGGTATATGAAAAGAGACCGTTTGAATCAGCTAAACAGTACGCTGTGACTGACTTTGGCGAGACGGATTGTATCATGCACTCGACAAGTTCAAAACGTAATACATGAAAATGTCAGTCTTTGAATAAATCAGTTTTTAACACCAATAATACGTATAACAAATTTATTTAATACTTATTTATTAAGGGCATCTAATTATAATTTTGTATACGTATATTTTCATAATTGTTTTAGCTAGTAATAGAGTGCTAGCAATAGAAATCATGTTGGTAGCACAAGCTGCAGCTAGTTAAAAAAAAAAAAAAGCAAATTGCGTTGTAACTCGGCAACTTTTCTTGAACGATGACGTTGCTTGTTGCTTCCCCCTCTCTGGCACTATAAACACTTGAAGGCAAATGCTCGCAGCGAGCTCTGATGACATTCCAAACATATCTTTACTAGCGCAAAACAAACATTTTCTCCAAAACATTTAAAGAAATAGCCGAAGCAGGTGAAGATACATCACAGGAGATATCTCCAACTCCAGAGAAAATTAGAACGCAAATTATTGAGAAAGTTGCGAAGGCATGACTAATTCTCCAGAGATTGGCATTGCTTCATAAAATCTAGTGGCTGATTACTGAACTAATACCCCCCACTCTTCCCGCATTTCTTCAATCCATCGTTCAAGAAAAGTTGCGCGAGTAATGCTCTCCACAGATGTAACAGATGCTGAAAGTGTTGTTTCCTCCACTTGTTTCCAGTGATCCGGTTGCTACCAATATGACATTTATAATAGGAGGCCCTGACTGGGCTCGGTGCGGAGAGACTTCCTGACGCACGCTATTCGAGTAGTTTTTTAATTATTTATTTATTTGATAGTTTTGTACATGGTTCAGTTTATGATAACTTTACATATGTATTGATGACTTATAACTTAACTTATCCTAAACGTATCCTAACTTAATACTACTACAGAGGTTGAGGAAACCATAATGGCACCTCAAAGGAACTATTCCAGATCTGAAAACAATTTTAAAAATATGTGGAATGGATATCTATTTTTATGCAAGTTTGATGAATGGGGTTTTTGCATAGTTTGAATGAAGATAAGGTTTGGATATGGTGTATATTTGAGAAGAAATTGTGGGATAGGTAGGTGATGTGTTGCATGATGGGATCGAGGTTGAATTCATTATGCAATTGATGATTAGAAATTAACCACGGTGCATTAGTGATTGTATGGAGGAATTGGTTGTGTATTATTTGAATTTTTTTGATATTTGTTTTTGCAGCATTTATCCATACTAGGCAGGAGTAGAGAAGAGTGGGTCTGATTATTGTTTTATATAAAGTTATTGCTGTTTTGTATGACTAATTTAGTTATTTAAAGAGCTAATTTTGTGTAACATACTTTTTTTTGTTATTTAAGGTCGCATCAACACCTAGGTAATTAGTGACTACTATTGCATTTAACGGAATGGTAACTGTAAAGATAACACGATATGGTGATGATAGAGGGTGAAAGAACAAACACAAATACAACCATGCCCGAGGCGGGACTCGAACACGCGATCCTTCGTTCCAAGACCGCTACGGTACTATTGCCTTCACGATCTCGGCCATCCGGACCATTATTCGAGTAGTGAGTGTGAGAATTAAGAGCACGTACCTGCGTCGCAGCGCTGGCAGAAGCCGTCCGCGCCACGCAGGGGCAGCCCCGAGGCGTCGTCCACGCGCACCAGCGCCATGGGCAGCACGGCGGCCGGCAGGCAGCGCGGCAGGAAGCCCACGGCGCCCACCGTCTCGTCCACGTTCACTGCGCACACACACACACACACGTGCACACTCACACCGTCACCATGCCTCGCGATTTAGAAATTGAAACACCACAACACACCTTTAATTTGCAAGTTTATTAATTATGGAGTTAATTTAGATTGATTGATTCATTAGTCATTCCAGGCACGTCAACTGCTAAGGTAATTAGTCCTGAAAGAGTAGTGCATGTTGTTTTCCTCGGAAGGCGACGGAGATATTCCCCCGCTAGATGGTTAGAGCCGTCGCCAACCTAACGTCCACTAACTGGCTTTTCCCCAATCAGGTATCTCCCACCAGCGGGGCACCTCTCCAGCCAGAACAAGCTCTAAGCGTTCGACCGATCTCTCGGCAAGTGTGATAGTGTAGTGTACGTTCGAGTGTGTGTAAGGGGTGATGATTGAACAAGGAAGAAGAAGGAAAGATCGCGCACGGTTCGTCGTCCGTTTGTTACGGTACTACTCCGGCATTCGTCTAGCATTGATCGAAGAAACTACGGAGAACTACCAATCAGAGCGGCCGACCATTAGAATTTTCCCCCAGACCGCGGTTGAAGTCGACCAAGCTGTCTAGCTAGTGTCAAAAATCTTGCCTCCGTCGCGACTCGGACCGTAGGACCTCCCAGTCACAGGTACTGATAAGCGTTTAAAATTAATTGATGTAAACGTGATTTAAACTCACTATTCAGTCATCTGTCCGGCAACAGGAGTCATTTTTATAGTAGCCAGTTATATTACTTTCGTCCAAAACTGCATACTTTTCACATCTCACGACTTCATTTTTTAACATGCAAAAGGTTTCAGGTATATTACATTTCCAACTAGGTATCACAGACCCCTCCAACGCCGAGACTAGAACCTGGTACCCTCTCTATCCCTTTCTCAAACATCACGTCGGCGTGTCCTAAATCACTAAATTATTTAGGGGTGCTCGATTGAGTTTCCTCCCACCGATACTATTGTCTTGTCGGTGTCTGTAAGTGTGTTATGTAGTTTGTGTTCAACGAATATATGAAAGAGTCTAATGGCTGAACAATATAAAATCAAGCTCCCAATACAAATATTTGTACTGAAAAGGTAGCGATTTGTCAACAGATTGCACAGTATTTTATATTTGAAGCAGAAGTCAAATATAACTTGTCACAATAATAACTAACTTTCCTCGATTATGTCAGTTGAAACCTTCTCACCAACGATCAAACTGGCAATTTGCTCAAGGAACCCTTTAAGTAAAGCATAAAAATACTCTGGGGACATTTTTTCCGAAATACTCTATGGTTTTCTCAAATTAAACATTTGAAACACAATACGGCGGAAACAAAACAGTGGAAATCATTAATACGGTACCTATTCATAATTGTAACCTTGTCACGAAGAAATTAGAAACTTTTTATAGCAGGAGACGTCACACTCTACGGGAAGTACCGTCCCTCTCCCGACAATTCACACAAATACTAACAAACATTTTTTGTTGGGAAATATGCTTGCCATTGCGTAGCTTCCGACATTTAGGTCGGTCTATTTGTGAGTATGATGTTTTCCTTGAAGGACCGCATAAAAGGACATTTCCTCAAGGAAATGTCGTAGAAAGAAGAAAGAAGCCTAAAAGCGACTGGTTGTTATGTAATTTTCTGTGTAATTGCGAAGGTTTTCGGCAGACCGGGTGAGACCGCACTGAAAGCTGTAATGCTACGTTTCGACCATCATGACCATACGTTTCACCATTTCAGTACCACGCGTTACACCATTTTATTTCATTTCATTTCACCATGCGTTTCACCGTTTCGACCATTGTACGAATAATAAACAAATCCCACCCACGTGATTCTTGTCGTGATTTATTAATCTAGGTATTTTAGCATTACCTTGTTTCTCGATATATGAATCAGTGATTTCGTCAAAAATGACTTACTTAAGAGCAGCATATTTTGAGCAAACAACGTTGTCTATAACTACAACACTCGACGTAGTAATAATATTCATCACATAACAGTATCAACAGCTCACAAAAAATCACATATAATACAGTACATTATTTTACACCATCTTGCCCGATGAAATTAAACGATTAAATTCGGTACAAAGTTTAAGTCCCAAGTAAAATCTTTTCTGCTACACAACTGTTTCTATACAATTAGAGACTATACCGAGCAAAAAAGGAAAGTAATATTAATTTTAACAATGAAATTTAATGATATTAGATATCATATATTATATATCATAAAGAACCTGAAACAAGTACTGTACTTCAGCTTCTGGGTCAATCACCCCTCTCTCGATCAGGTTTTCGTCCAGTTTCCCTGATCATCGAGCAAATGCTGAGATGCCCCTTGTTTTGCTTCTGGACATAAATGTAATTTCAAATCAACTCCTCCCCATAGCATGTCACACACAGATTATAACTATTTTTTGACGTAAATGAATATATAAATAACTACATGGTATGTGATCATGTCAAGGGAAGGAATGCAAGAACAAAGGAAACCACTACACGGTGATCGCGGCGACATCCGCACAGCCGAGAGCATTCGACCGTGGCGTAGAAACATACGTTTTCTGTAATTATTGTGTTCGCGTATTTGGCCAATTCTTGAACTCATGTTTACTGAGTGACACGTAGTAACTGCACACCTATTTTTTTCTTTCCAACTTGGGCAAGAAGCTTCTCTTACATCCTATGCTCTTGCAACGGTGGATTGTCTATTGAGCTATTTACCAGCACCTTACGTTCTACCACGAGGATTTCTCCCTGGAATGGGCACCTAGGCGTTAGCCACTATCCGTAACACACAAGTACGTCTGGTATTAGGCTGGTATCTGGGTACCGCTTGACAGCAGTTTACCTTTACGGCAATCTTCCCATGACTTCTAGGCTGTCCTGGTGACGCCTCGTCGTTGGCAGAGAAGCTGACGGTGCGCCTGTTATACGTATCAGGCTTCTTCAGGGTAGTGACACAGAAATTATCCGCCTCCGGTGTTATATATTTTTCAGAAAATTCGTTGGCTGGGAGGCCAACCACGCGGCGTCTTCTGGATAGCCGAGAATTTATGGATTCGAGCCGCGGAAGCTTACGTGTACATATCTTTTTCAGCCTAGGTTTTCGGGTAACGCAAGTGCGCCGTGAGTGGCGGAGAGGTCCCTCTGATTGGCTCGCGGTCTCGGCAATCTTCCCAATCAATGCCTGGGTCTGGTCGCTCTGCCACCTCTGAACTACTGGCTTTCCAGGCCAGTGCCGGAGTCGAAACAATGCGCCATTCACAATACGCCCGGGCAAGTCCTTCCTATGTGGCAAGACTACGGGTCACTGCCACGACGAAGCCAAGTGCCCAACTGGGGGCCGCCCTGATTAAGGCCCGGGTGGCTCGGGGCCCCCAACCCGTCTCATAACTGCTCCATCTTGTAGTTATCGACTTGAGTACCGCCGGAACCTAACAGGGGAACCCGAAACCTGACAGGAGGGGATTCGTCGGAATTAAATATGCGGGATCGGGAGCAAGTTTTTCGCCCAAAGGTCGGTGGCGAGTCGCCTTCTCATTACCTCCACCTTGACGCTAACGACGTGAGTGTCGCAGACAGATTCTGGACCGGGTTGATGTCTCCGCCTCCATCTAGGCCTCCTCAGGCCTTGCGACCGTCTGCCCTCCCCCTGCGGGGGCTCTTGAAACAGTGACAGAACAATATTTGCTGTTCACAACAGTTCTGAAGTGTGTCTGCCGCCGCCTGAACTTTTCCTTTCACTGGAGATTCCGCACCCTCAGATAGTGCAAACCGCAAATCCCCCCAATACAAAGATTAACAGAGGAGTTGTGCATTTCGGCATTTAAGAAGACGATCAAATTGCTCTTGATTTCTTTTATTTAAAAAGAGGAGTTTATCGAGGTAAAATTAGAGGGAAACATTTAAGAATCAACTTTTTGTGAAGTCATATATTGTCTGTGAAATAATACGACGGGGAAAAACAGACCAGTGTCGTTTACAGAGCCCTTCTACGATGCACGGTCTTTCTCCCGGTAGTGGAAAGTCGTCATGGATGGGGCGAATACCACTTTTATTGGAATGGCATATTGCTTTACTTGAATAAAAAAATTACAATAGGAACAACAAATAACAATAAATAGTAATTCATGATCCACGAGAGTAAGTGGGATTTTCGTAACAAGAAGAAAAAAATGGTCACCAAGGCAATGAATGGGGTCGAGGGATAAAAATGCCCGAGGGTGAATAAAATATGTTTACTTCCCAAGTGCCGTTCATTATTCTATGGATTTCGACTACGTAAAATTGAGCGAGAAAGTTTGAATGAAATGCCCAAGTACTGCATGTGCACAAACACAGTTTTTTCGTTACCTTAATTAGATTATTATCTATCCATTATGTATCCAATCTATTATTTATTTTCAATAACAGACCATTTACGCTAGCAGTACATTATTCCTTCCATTTCCAGTGACGAACCGCGCTCTGTGCCTCCATGAACCGTGTAATTAGAAACTAGTACGGAATTATTCAAGTAAATTATTCGTTTACAAAAGGAAGGTATTACCCCACGAGCGACTAAAGCGCTCGCATCAGCATCGGCAACGGCGAAATTGAAAGTAACACTCGAATATTTAATTAGCAGTGGAATGACTTTTATCACTTTGGGGTATAAGTAAAGTCCTTTTCTTCATTTGTGCATAAAATATAAGATAGAATAGTAAACAAATAAAGTTTGTAAATTTTGTTAAGCTTGTAAATTTTATTAAGTTGTTAGTTCTGTAATGTTAAGTTGGTGTATTCTTCCACCAATCAGTTCTCAAACTTAATTGCAGAACTAGTAATAAATCTAAATCTAATCTAATAAATGGCTGAAAACAATAGAATACATTTACCATGCTCTATTTTAAATACAAATTACTATCATTTCTTATTTTTGCGATGATTGTTCAGCCGAGTACATTGTCTGAGCCCGCGCCGGAGCGTGAGAAAACCGCCAGCTGGCAGAGTGATCCCACTGGCGGGCGGTTCAAGGGAAGCAGCTGACGAGTCCCTGACGAGGGACCTCGTTTGAGAGCATAGCCGCACGCGGCTCGGCTCAAAGTTCCCTTGGCTCAACAAGCGCGTCGATCGTACCACGAGTCAGCCAGATATTAAGGAGTTTGTGTCATCCTGAACGTTAAAGCACTATCGATCTTCTGCGCATGCGCAATTCAAGTTTCGCACCACTTTAGTGCATCTGCGCATGCGCAGATGATCGATAGCGCTGTACGCTATGGCGTGCATAAATTCCCCATTAGTCTTAGTGAGTGAAACTATTTGTATACCCTGTTTCAGCCTTGATGCATCTCCTGTTATGCGGAGGCGTATGCACATGGACACCATGTGTATGTGGTATCTAGTATCATGTAAGTACAAAGGAAATAAATTACGAAACAAACACAATTTTTTGCAATTTTCATTAAATTTTGAATAGACGAGTTCCTTAAATGAGAGGATACAAACCAAAGTACCCAAATGTCATATATATATATATATATATATATATATATCACATACATAGCATACATACATACACAGATGCTATTGAATGAATGAAATTTGCCTTATTTTACGTGCGAGACTCGGACATAGCCGTCTTCCGTCTTGACCGCAAATTTGCGCTACACTCCTTTTCATCATGCTAGCAGAGAAAGGAGGCGTATTTTTGGGGGCGAGAAACAGGCGATTTTGAATTTAGCTCAGAGGCGTCAATTAGGCTTGGTATTTCACATGCAAGTAAATCTATACATGGGAGCAGCGCGACATTAGCTTCATCTCTTCGAAGGAAGGCATACGAAGGATTTTGTGACCCTAACAAATCCACGGCTTTGATCGGGTCTGAACGCCGCGAGCTTGGGTATAACAGTCCACACCATCGCCGCCGCCATAATTAATATATATTATATATATATACTACTATAATATATATATATCATACTATATACTATATATCTATTTCTATACACTTTATATACATATATATATATATAATATATACTACATATACTATATGTACTTATAATATTATATACTCATATATATGTATATTATACATATATACACATATATAACATATATATATATATATATATATATATATATTATATATATATATATATTATATATACACATATACATAATGTGACGCCCGTGCGCATGTACTCACCGATGTTGGTGTTGCCCTCGGTGGCGCCGTACAGCTCGCGGATCTGCGGCACCTTGAAGCGCTGCACGAAGGCGGCCCAGATCTGCGGCCGCATGCCGTTGCCCAGCAGCAGGCGCACGCGGTGGGCGGTGTCGTCGGGGCGCGGCGGCACCGCCAGCAGGTAGCGGCAGATCTCCCCGATGTACTGCCCCACCTGCGCACCCACGCCCTCGTCACGCACAGAGCCGTCGCGAGGTCGACATTCCAACAGACGAGGCTTAACTCTGGACCGAGTTGTTTTTACTGTGAAAGAGCGTCGTAGAAATGTTTGAGAACATTCAGTTCTCATAGCTTTCAGTTCGTGCCATTAAGGCCCATTCACAATGCAAACGTAAACATAATCATAACCCATAGGCTAAATATTAACATAAATGATAGACTGAAGTATTCACAATGTCTAACATAAACGTAAGCGAAATAAGAGTTTCTATTGCTGTGAGACATTCTAGTTTACTATTGGTTGGATGTGAGAATCGATTTCAAAGTATCGACTATGCCCATGTTACATATGGCGTTAGTTCGTCTATAGACTTCGATCCAATTTCGATTCTCGATTTTGAGTTAACGTGCTGTGATTGGTTAATTTCTTATGTCTTTCTTTAGCAAAAGCACAGAAGCTTGCAAGCTTTTAAGTTAATGTCTTACGTGTTATGCTTACGCGAACGCTTTGTGAATGAGTCTTATGGAAGAAGTCCTAACTTTTATATTAATGCCATGCTTATGTTAATGTTTGCAATATGAACGGACCTTTAGGTTTTATGCTGACGTAATGAGAGTAATCTCACTCAAACTGCGTGCTGAGGAGAAAACCGGAAGCTGGAGCGTGAATGACAATTTACAACTGATCCAACTTTTTAATCAAAATCTTCTTCTTACCATTATAAACATTGTAGTTTGATAAAGTGTTAAAATTTCGATGTAAGTAAATGTGTTAAGGTGCGTTTGTGCCTGAACCACCCAAATGACAGTTTATGAAGCAAGGTAAGGTAATATCCAAGTGATGCATATGAGAGATCGTAGTGTGTGCTGAATAACGTTTACTAGCGCGTGTGCCACAGGCTTAAAAACAGAACTTCTAGATGGAATTATTATTATACAAATGTCTGAAATGTAAATGTTACAAACAATCTAGGACATGTCATCCAACTTTTTCTAAAGAACTTATGGTGGTAAATTTCATATAATGAAGTTACGTATGCGACATTGGCCCCAGATTGTTTGACAACGCCTCATGCATTATTGTTCGGCAAGTCACGTTTTGACGTAGTCATAAAGATTTTGTATACATGACAAACACTGGTTCATGAATATTTGTCTAATAATCAGGGAGAAAGTCAAATGTGTAACCTTGTATTATGAATTTTCCCACTGATTGTTCATTGGCTCTTTTTCAATCCTACATACCCTAAACGTTTATAATATTTCTTCTGAGGTATCTGTACATTACGTTATATTACCGCATATGCTTGCTACATATGGAAAGCACTTTGGAATGCTTTTACCAGATGGTGTGTTTGAACTAAAGTATAAAGACGCGGATGATGGTGTTCGAAAACGAAGCTCAAGGAACAGCAGGGAACAATTCAACCCCCCCCCCCCAACACACACACTTCGGAGTCTACGGTACCAAATACTTATTATGAAGGCTTATATCTTTGATAGTCCCCAGTATCAAATACTTATCAAAAAGTGTGATGTCAGGTAGGTAAATAGCCTATCATAGGAAATTAATCGTGCTATGTGTAGTATTCTAACTATTCATTGCAAGAATGTATTAGTCCTTCGAGTTCAGCCCTCCTTTTGTCAAAGACAAGGACTATATTTGCACCTCCAACGCAAAACAAAACAAAAAAACAACCATTTGAACACACCGAAGCTATATTTTTTTTCAGTAAATTAAGCATAGGCATTCACAAAGAATTGTAGTGTGTCCAGTGCACTGAAGTCGTTCTGAACAATTGTTGTCTAAAACATTCAAAATATTAGTTATATTAAATGTTCTTGAAAACATTTTATACAGGTTTTTAAATTAAAAATTACTAGCTTCAATTATAATTGATAAATAGTTAATAAAATTATCATTTTTTCATAATAAGAACAGTTTTATTGTAATGGGTTCAACAACGTCGCCCCTTTGGAATCGAAGTTCCAAAAAAAAGAAATCACATGGCTATGTCACAAGCAAACGGTGTTTTAAAGGACGATTAGCTGGTGGGTGTAGCCACTGTTCGCCATATTAAAATGCTGCCCGTAGCACTAACGACGGGTTTTGGCGCTTCGAGGAGACCATCTGATTTTTCTTGTGTGACGACGCTAATAATAGTAGCTAATAATAATAATAATAATAATAATAATAATAATAATAATAATAATAATAATAAGTTAATAATAATACTAGAGGCTATTTGTTACGAGTTCAGTCCGAAGGTTTTTATGGAAAAAATATTCTTAATTCCCAGTATCCGACGCACGAGATCAGAATGGAAAAGGTATAACTTCTTCAAAATATCACAAAAGCGAGAATAATAAAATTTACAAATTTAATTACTTTTACTATTCCACTAGTGAAACTAAAACCAATAGTGCTTAACTGCTAAGTGTTTAATCGCCTCTCTATACTGGCCAGTAATAAGCTGCGACTAATCATAGGTGGCAGCGTATATTGATGGCTGTGTTGATGAACAAAAAACATCGTATGTAATATGACAAAACCTCTTATTTTAACATGCTTTCAGTCATTTTCAATATTTGGCGTGTTTTGGAATTCTGTTGAAAGTAATTTCTTTCGTAGAACAATTGTAATAAATACCACTCGTGCATTGGAAATTCTCAGACAAATCCCCTCCTCACTTCTCGAGTCGTAGATTAATCGACTATTTCCAAAGCACTTGTGGTATTACCGATGATAAGATTCAGGAAACAAAGTGACATAAAATATTGTTTCGTGAAGCTAAGCAACTCTCGATTCTGACGTAACACAAAACTGTGTATAAACGCCGTGGGAGACAAAATCTGACAGCATCGGATGTAAACATTTCTCGGCAGTTGCGGTTCATGCTCAGGATCATAGAAGCATACTACATCATTCGAAAAAAAAAGTTCACTAAACAAGAATAGTATAGAATTCAGGTGAGAAGAATTAAAAACTTTATCTATGGAAATTATTTTAAGTCCCCCAATAGTCGACGACACTTAACAGAATAAATTAAATTGAAATAATCAATATATGGGTATTAAGTATGCAAGTGGCCTAATGTTGCGCAGACGCACGTCACCCGACGCGATTCTTTTGCAGCGAGCGCATGCGCGCCGCATGTGACGTCATGCTTGGAGCAAGGTCATCTTTACTCTACGAGTAAAGCTGGCCTTGTCACGGAACATTAACAAGAAACATCATTCACATCGGCTCACAATTGGTTGCGAGCTCTCCTGCCAGAGCCAGTAGCAACCCTGGCTCGCTAGAAGGAGAGCGACGAGAAAGAGGCAGCTGCGACGTACTTGACATTCAATAAGGAGGAATTGAAAACAGATTGGATTTACATAGAGTACGCTGGACTTTCGCTGCGCTTTGCCTTATTCATGATGCGATAGTTATTTATGAATCTAGGGCGGTAAGTAGATGTATTAGCCCCGAGGGCGACTTACAAATTCGAGGGCTGCTGGCCCCAGACTTTTGCCTGAGGGGAAAAAATATCTAGTAACGTTCGTGGTGCATACAAAACGTTATGATTTACTAGTTCGTTGCTGTATCAAAGGAGAATTCGAAATTCTTCGTCTAATGTGAAAAGACGCATTGTAATAGTCATTTGTCGTCAAAATGAAAGAATACTATGAAGTTCCGGAAGAAATTATCGCAAAAGCTAACAAAGCTACGGACAGTGGTTTCCAGTAAACTCTCGAGAAATGGTATATGAAAATCACTATGTGTTTTTGGAGAGTTATATGAAAAAAGTAACGGCTCGGATAACTCGGCTAACACTTCATCGATTTGTTTCCTAACCCGTCAATTAACTTAACATATTGTTAACATCATTAGACATGTTTGTTTTTTATATATAAGCGGTTCCATACGTTTCCGGCCTCACCAAGATGTCACTCATCAATGAGAAAATCTAATTAGTTTATAGTCTTATCTTTAATTGTTGTAATGCTATCAGTTTGAGGCCGACATCTCACTCCGTTTTGCGGAGAGAGGTACTTGAGTTGGATGCGGTCCAAATCTCATGGTGTTTAGCTTCTTCTCGACATTGCACCTGTGGTTGCTACTCAGATTGCAAAACGGATGGTGGATTGTTAAATCCTGAACGGACACCGGTTGTTAGAGTGGCTTTTCGCTCCTGTTTGGTTTCGTTAAATATGTATATCATCAAAAGTACAGTATACCCCTTTAATTTCTTGAGCTTCCTTACGTACTTCAGAAGGAATTCTTTCATTCATTTTGAAAGGGCTTTCTTTAGCACCGAAAGTAATCTCCATTGCTCCACGTAACTTGCCTCTATTTTCCGCCTAACATTACCAATGTTTGTGGGATATCCTAATTTTCTGAACACGCATTCACAATTTGCAGCTGTTTCTCGGAAAACATTCCTGCATAAAGAGATAGGAAATGCTCTAGGATAGTGATGTGATATTCATGCCACCGGCGGGCGTACGTGACACTGGTAGCTCGACGAAGTCACCTCGCCACAAAAGAGCAGTAGGTAATAAAAGCCACCCTTATCGCTTTTGCGCTTTACACATGAAATACGATTAGATGAGATTTAGATAAATAAATTGAACATTTGTTGTTATTTTTTATTTATGTTTTTGCTTATATTTTTCTGAGCCTATCTTCTTTTTCACACGCGATTTTACCAAATCGGAAAAAGGCGGGGTTACTACTGATATACTTATATTAAAACATCAAGTCTATCAACACTTCCTCAGCTGTGACGCTGTAATTCAAACGGGAGATTGAACGTCACTATAGCAGGGGCGAACCCAGAGACGAATTTTGGAAGGGGCAATATTTTTATTCAAAATATTTTGGACGGTATGTGTCATATTACAGATTACGTAGAATGACGCAGGCTAAACTCATCTCACATTGCGATACAATTTTATTCGTTTTAATGTTTATACGAAAATATTTTTGTTTGAAAGTTTCGTAACAAGTTAGAATTAATAGTTACTGAAAAATTTTGGGAAGGGAAATTTCCCTCCCCGTGTATCCGCGCCTGCTGTAGTGACGCCACTATAGAAAGTGCCCGACTGGATGACAGCGTCACAGCTGACGAAGTGTTAACGGACTTAATATTTTAATCGAAGTATAGTTTTCTTTCCCGCCGCTAGGTGCGCTGCGAAGCTCTTAGCACGCCCCAGTGCCTTGAGCACAGTAGCAGACATTGACATCTCTGCTCTAGAAGAACTGTCGTGTGCGCAGGGCATGGGCCACGCTCCGCGTCGAGAGAAGGGCGAAGGGCCGCCCCGAGGCTCCGAAGTCCGAGCGACGCGTGAAACGCGTGACGAAGCGCCACCGAGGTCACTCTCGCGTGTGCCCGGCGGGCGGACTTTGTTCGGGGCCAACGGGCGAGGAGTCCTCATTGGGAGGGGGGGGGGTCGCGCCCTCAACCATTAACACCACCAAGTGTCGCATTGGAGCATCTGAATCACTTGTGTGTGTCTGTGTGTGAGCGTAAATACATTGACTGTCTGCAATTCAGGGATATCATTAGTACAATTTAATATATTTATTTGGATACATTAGCTCTTTACCAGGTCCTGACCATGTGCCTACAGATATATTTACATTTACAATACAAAATTATTTAACATATAACACAATAAATGAGACTACGACGACTACTACATCTAAAGTTGGTACGATACAAGCGGTCTTCAGACAGACCCATGCGCAACAGTTAACGTCAATAATCAGAGTCGCCCACAAAAAACAAGGAGCTTTGGGCAGTTGTTCCATCGAGACCTCATTACAAACGAAGAATTCCTCTCAATTCATAACTAGAATTCATTTTTCTGTGTATAAGAAATAATATATAACGTTAAATGTGGATTAAAGTAAATATATTTTTATTTGTTTTGAATGAAAAAAAATCGGGGCCTCAATTAAGTCGGGGCCTAGGGCAAGTTGCCCCAGCTGCCCCCCTTCTGGACGCTCCTGTTAATAATAATTATATTAAAACGCAGTGGACTATTGCATTTGGAAACACTATGTAGTCAGCTGAAAGAGAAATTACGTCACTGTTTTCTGCTGTTACTCCACTTCATAAAGCAATTTGAGCTCTGGATAAAAATATCAGCCCATTACGTCCAACCCAAGAGAGCGTAAATTTCCTATACTTGATAACTCAAGATTGAATTAATGCTTGGAAGACAAAGAACTTCTGGCAGGTTTATAACAGCATTGAGGTCTGAGGATGTTGATCTGAAATGGTCCATAGAATGGCTGCGAACAGCGGGTCCTTATAGTGAAACACAGAAGGATTCCTGTTCTCCTAGAAGACCAAGTGATTAAAACCAGAGCCTATCAAAAATATGTTACGGGTCAAAAAATTGATAGAAAAGATTGCCGATTATGTAAAACTACCAATGAATCTATTCAACGTGTATGCAATGGATTCTCACTGCTCTGAGGAAGCTTGCGACAAATCAGGCGAAACGTCGGCCTCTCAGCCAACGACGCGGCGTCTCCCGGATAGCCAAGAATTTATGGATTCGAGTCGCGTTAGCTTTCTTGTGCATATGATTATTGATGTTTCAGTTCCTACAAATGACAACACAGTGTTAACTCTTGCTGAGAAAAAACGAATATATCAGCCACTGTCTTTTGAGTTAAAGGATAGTGCACTTTGCAGAGAGTGGAGTCATAGTACTTGTGATAGTAGCGGAGGATTGGCAGAAAGCTGGAAAAAACGACAAAATACGAGAAAAAACATCTCAGAACTAGGCAAATGGCCGCTTTTGAGAGTACAGCAAGCGTTACCAGAATTTTTTGTGTCTTAAATGAGGTTTATAAAGTGCTAAGTAAGTAAAGACATCACCAAAATCATAATTAATGAAGTACTACGAGAAAGATTGGAACATTGTATACGGAAGCTCTTCATTGTAGCAACTCCCTACTTTTGTACAAACAAAGAGCAGGAATGCTCCGACATTTATTGAACAGTAGAGAAGTAATAAAGAAGTATATTAATAATAATTATAATAATGTTGAGCTAGAGGGAACGCGGATTGAATCGGTTCGGATTGAATCGGTTCGGATTGAATCGGTTCGGATTGAATCGGACCGAGTTGGGTAGTGTCGATCTGGAAGGTTCGGGCCGGGTAGGGTAGGGTAGAAGTGGGTAGTTCGGGCCGGGCCGAACCTGATCGGATGCCGGATCGAATAAAATAGGGCTGCATCGGGCAGAATTAGATCGCATTGCATAGGATCGGGTCGGATCGGGTCGGATCGGGTCGGATCGGGTCGGGTCGGGTCGGGTCGGGTCGGGTCGGATCGGGTCGGGTCGGGTCGGACCGAGTCGGGATGCTGCTGCTCATGGGCTCACCGTGCATCCGTGGCGCACGCAGTCTGGGAAGTAGGCGGAGGCTGAGAACTTGGCGCGCATGACGACGGTGAGGCCGCCGTAGAGCGCGGCGCCGACGCCCAGCACGCCGCCCGCGGAGTGGTAGAGCGGCAGCGGACAGTACAGCACGTCGTCCGGCCGGAAGCGCGACATCACGTTCGCCGCCGCGCACATCAGCAGGTACCTTAACATCCCACACAAACACACATTGCACATGGCACCCGCCATATCGAAACTTTTCAACCCTTTCGCCCTTTACCTGAGCGAGAGTTCAGAAGCCTCCCGATTATTTTTAATATGTTTAATTAGTAGTAGATTTAGTTAGGAAGTTGAAAAACATTGACATTGTATATTGCGCGCTTTCGGTTCAATAATAATTGCAAAAATTGTTTGACAAATGTAAGTAAGATTTTGAGTAATTTCCGTATCTTCGGAATAAAAATTATGAATACATTTTGGAAATGTTTGTAACATTTAAAGTTTTAATATAGTATATTGCTTCAAAACATTGCTGTGATATTAAGTTACGAATAATCGGCCTCTATTTGACATAAAAATGTAATAGGGTTTTTCATTAGGGGAGAAAATAGTAATTTATTATACACGAAGCAGAATATGTAATATAACGAGCAACGAAAGTGAGAATGACTTACCATTCTCGGGCCGAAAAAGTGTCGTTATCGTTGTATGTACTGTTTTATTTTATTTTTACCCATTTCTTTTAGTAAAATGCATACAAAATCTCATGTTAGTATACAAAAGATTAAAACGCATCGCTCACAGTACCAGAGAGTATAACATATCTCTATTGCCTAGATGATGAGGTTCTTTAACGAAACATTAATCATAAGAAACAGTTTAATGTTCTCTATAAAATGTTTTTTTTAATCGTAAGGGCTTTAATTCGTAGCCGAAAGAATTGCAACTAATTTTTCACGATTTGTTAGTGATGTCGTTGGAACGTTGTCCTGGAACGTTAAATAGTCAAAGATTGAAAAAAATATGGGGTGCCGATTCCGATCTTCATGACCGTTCCTTATTACTCAACATCTTCAATCTCGTAGTGTCCGATTCCAAATGTTAACCTTCCTTAAAGTAATTGCTTAATTTTAATTTTTATAGAAGCATTCAAGATATTTGCAACCAATCTAATAGAAGGTTTTACACAGCAAGGTATACCAGTATAGTAGTTTCTAGCACAATATACAGACAAGCAAGGATAATTCCACATGTAAATGATACATCCAGAACTAAGGGCCATCCAATATGACAATTTACGAATACATTCAAAACTAAGATATGTTTATTGCCCGATTTACTACTTGTTATCACGTAGCTAAATTGATGTGTATCTGATCTTAGTGTCTCTTATGTATATGATCTTAGTGTTTCTCAGAGGGGCTGTTGTCACTTTACGAGAGAGTCAAGGTTTCTCTGCCCCTAGCTGTTTCCAGAATCATATAATTGCGTTCTTGCGTTCGCTGCAACATCCATTAATTATCTTCAAGCGCCTTGTAGCAGTTTCGAATTCCTTCTGGATCGCTGAAGACATTTGGAGAATATTCAAATTGGACAGAAATGACGATTATAATTATTTTATTTTATAAGATTGAAAGCCTACGAGTGTTGGGCCCATCCACGCCACTCAATTAAATGTAGTGGTAGCATTAGAGGTTCTTTACAGCTGACGCCGCTTCTTGCACCAGGTAGGACAGCTCAGAGCATCAACTGATGTTAGTGCAGTGCCTCTGACCCAGAGGTCCTACGTGCGAGTCCCGAACAGTGCCAGGCTTTTCTATACTAGCTAGATAGCTGGGTAGAGTTCAGGCAGTGTCCGCAAGAGAATTCTACCGGCCGTCTGCTCTGATTAGTACTTTTCCATGGTATTTCCTATCACACCCGGCGAATGCCGGAGCATTACCCTAACAAACGGGCCACGGACCGCTCGCGATCTTTCCTTCCTCTTTCTTGTCTTATCCTCACCCTTTACTTATACACACTTACACTTACATGCATATCACTACCACACATGGCGGAAACTTAGAACTTGTCCCGGCTGGGGCGATACTCCGCTGAAGAGAGTATGGGTTGGGAGACCTGGTTGGGAAAAACCCTCTAGCCACCGGAGATCGGCGCCAGATCTCACTATCCAGCGAAGGAAGATCACCGCCACCTCCCAGGGGGACATCCACCACACTTACGGGAGTAATGACCTTAGCCATTGACGTGACCGGAATCATTGATCAAGCAATCGCTTTTCGCATTCCAGTTGCCATGTCTTTCGATCTTCCCAGTCTTCCTCTTGACGATCTCCTTCCTTCATCACCATTTCTATCTCCTTTTCCCGTGGTTTTTTGGTCTGCCACGCTTTCTGTTTCTTTGAACGAACCATTCTAAAAGTTACAATCATCCTCTGAATATGTTCATAGAATCTCAATCTTTTAACATTAACATCATCCCTTGTATCAATAACAATACTAATTTCATTTTTTATGTCATTAGGTACGTAAGTGAATTATAGGAACCAATAAACAGAGAATTTATTGTTTTCGAAAATTTATACAACGTCTGAATTTTTCCCCAGGTGTATTTTCTATAACTAAAAACAGTAATTACACTTAAAACTCTTATTTAAACAAACAATATTATTGAGACAGTCCATTACTGGGTCCGGTTTTCCATCACACACAGACATCCGTTATGTGCACCATCCATTAGATTAAAATTGATGTTTTGAAAAGTGTTGAGTAAATTCTCATTCAATCATGAGATAATTGTTTTGGGCATCTCGTACGCGAGAAGTTTGAAATGTATGATCTTTTCATCTTAAATGCTTTGAAAGAGTAGCGAAACTGAGGTATTCGAATCGTGGCGCTAAATTTGAATTAATTTGGTCGCCCATGTGTCAACAATATCAATTATATAATTATTGACAAAGAGTGATGGAAAACCGGAACTAATGGTGGTTTGTCTCAATAATAATTTTGTTTGTAATAATTTGTGTAAGTAAAAGTCTTAAGTGTAATTATTGACTTTTAGTTATAGAAAATATACCTGCATTGAAAAAAAACCCGTTGGAGATCCAGTTGGAGTCGGTAAGTTAATACTGGAAACAGACATTAGTCAATGCTATAATCGGATTCTTTATCCATTAATATACGACCACAACAGCGTCAATCGAACATACTTGCCAGTAAAATATATACTTCCGCCTTATCAACCTCGCCTATCCAGGCTGGCATTCACATAAGTGTTAACGTCATTTTCTGAAATCTCTGAGAATTTATTTGTAGATCTGAATGATATTACAGGTTGTGAACTCCGAAAATAATTTGATACGTTATTTTCAAGGCCGACAAGTGGAACCTAGCCTTCTAGGGAACCGGTCTTCTAGGGAACCTTCACCTTCGCGTTAGCTCTCTAAGCAAGAGACTGGCACGCACATATAACTGGCACTGGCATGTGGCATATCGAAACTTATTCGTGTCTTAGTATTCTAAAATCTTGCGTTTTGATATTACAATTCTTGCAAGAAATGTCAGAATTTATGGTTTGATTATTTAAAATATCATGTGTCAGTAATGTAAAACATTATTTACAAACAGTGGTCTACCCATGATGCAAAGACATGGGTTTGCTATTGCTCAACATCTTATTCCGCTTTAGCCATTGAGCTTCATTCAGAAGTTTGCGTCACTCAATAGCGGAAATTTTAAAAACAGCCAGATACCAAATAACCCTCTGTGACGGGCCATTTGATGGCTTCAATTGAAGTATAATTATAAAAGTAGTGTAATATAATCAAAGAATAAAGAGATCGGATATCGATAGGCGATCGACCAATCAGAAAATGGGGACGCGAAACTCGGGATGAAGAGAAGAGTTTTCGAACAATATTACGCACCGAAGAATTGAGCAGCGCGAGATATGAACTGCCGGAAGAGATGCTCGCAAACTGTGATAAATGGCAGTAGCTACTACGGAGAAGTTCTCGTACCGCAGACACGTTGACGCGTGAAAAAGGAAGTTAACTAAATGTGTGAGAGAGTAAGACAGAGATTTCTTGTTAAGTATTATTATTTTGTTTGTGACGTGAATGTTGCGGAGGAATGGACATGGAATGCTGAGATACCTCGATCAAGATGGCTGACGAAGGCAAAAGGGTGGTAGATCATCAGAACTCATTTTTTTAATGTAAGAAGGCCAAGATTTGGAATAGAAATAAAAATAAAAATTAATCATAAAATAGGGAAATCATGGCCATGAGTGATTGAAAACGCCAAGGAGTTCATTAAAATATGAAAGGCGAATTAAAAAATCGATTGTTGTTTTGAGGAATTGTATTCGTGTTAGTGATTTTGGTCTATCGGTAGCCAGCAGAGGGCGAATTATAAATATTTCCAGAAATAAGGAGTATTTATTATCGCAGAGGCGTAATATTTGCGATTCTACATTCACGAGAATAAATAATCCCTTACAAAATTCCGTGGTGGTAGCAGATATCTTGTGGTAATACATAATGGGAGAAGGAAATAAATCATCCACATGATTATGTTTATGACTAACCCTTCTACTCTTCTGGTTTCCCCCTCCCACAATTGGTAGTCTTTCTCTTCTCCCCATTCCAAGAGATGGCTGCTACCTAGCCTTACCCAACATGTTGGTCAGTATTCGTGTTTTTTCCGACCATGTTGTGAACATTTGTGAGTGATCAACGTTGCTTGGAGTGTAAGTTTTTTTAAATTCTATTAATTTATTATTTATTTCGTATTATTTGTTAATTTTTCCACATAAATTCACTGCATTTCTTTTTGCTCTCTTTATGTTAATTTTTCAATTTATTCATCTTTGCTAGAGACCCACTGAGAATGGGAAAACTGTTTTCCCGAAAGTTATCTCTGGGAATGGAATAACTAATAACATTATTATACTTGTTTTTGTGGACGATTATTTCCTTCTTCCATTAATCCCTTACGTAAGACGTCGGCGCCAAGATTTCGCACGAAGGCTGTCGACCCACAAATAAATAAATAAATAAATAAATAAATACATAAATAAATAAATAAATAAAGAATTTGTAAGCGAACAGTTGAATTAAAGTTATCATAATAAAATTATTATTAATTATAATTATATAATAATAATTATCTTTAAATAAAAGAAATCCCCACTCTGTTTCACATCATTATCTTGTTACAAGTCATTGAATCACATACACGACGGTTTTAAAAAAATAAATAAATCCTGTTATTTTTGGTTCGTTATCGTAAAAATTGTCACTTTATTTCTCTTTCAAAATGTTTTTTCTGGCACTGCTCAATTGCCATCCCGCATGGTGGTCAGCGATGTCTAGGCTGGCTTTTCAAACGAATTGCCCGTTTGTGATCACACAGTTCGTGACGTAGCAACACACTCGTCTTCTTGCACCGTGGGTCTAGCTAGTTCCAAAGGCACCCGAGACCGGTATGCCCACTTTGCACCTAGAATCCCACATATCCAGTTGTAATCCTGTGCGCATCATCTATATCCCCACCTATAGCCCCCAAGAATTTCGCATGAGGTTGGTGATTGATAAGGTGGGAAGCATGAAAAGTGCACACGGCTTGCCGGCAGACGTCATCACAACTCATTTTACCACCGAAGTCTCGATAACTAATTTTTGGATCAATTCCAATACTATTTCTCTACACTATGTACAACTGCAGAGGTGATATGACAATGCACTCGTAATATTGAATTGGGATAGTGCCTACACCTTTTTTAAATGAGTCTACGAGCCCAGAAACCTACACAAATATCGGATATGCTCCTTAGGTTACGATCATTCGGAGACTTCTACCGATGTAGAGAGGTAAAATAATTTTTCATCACAAAAATTCTCAATTAATGGTTTATTTTGGTTAATTGGAATCCTGATTATTCTTGTAACTTCTAGTAATAAATCAATTAAGTTTTTAAGAATGTATTCAATTTTTAAAAGAAGATGCAATATTTCAGCCCAAAACGTTCATAAAATCATAATTTCAATTCCACAAGACGACAATGTTCGCATTTAGCATCCAAAATGATAGTAATTTTCTGCAAACAAATTGTTCAGTCACTGCAATTAAATAAACCACAACTCACAAATCAGCATTTTCATTCGTTCAAACCACTGTCTGCAAATCAATCTCTTAATTCATTCAAACCACAATCCACTTATCAATCCCTTCATTCGTTTAAACCACAGCCACAATCAATTTCAGTACAGTTCATATTTTCCCTTAGTTATTCATTGTGAGACGAGACAATGTCATGAGCAAAAACTCTGCAATAGTTACGCTCTTTAGGCATTGTCAATTGAATCCGTGATTTTAAAAGGGGAAAAGTTTTCCTTTTTCATAAAAATATTTGAGATAAATATTTTATTTTTTATTCTTCAGGCTATTGATCAGTGTAAAATGAAACTTGTCCCGCTTGAAGTATGTGTTCTATTGCCAACTAAAAATTCTAATGCTATATGTTATAGAATGTTATGAGACAGATTCTAAGAGGAAAACTGAGGCAGTACTCCAACGTTAATCGAAAATCAATTTCCAGCATTTATTTATTTTTATTTGAATCTGACGTCAAAATTCTTTACAAAAATACCTTCACTTTCAACATTTTTTCTCCGTCTCTCCAATTTTTTTCAGCCTGATTTATGCAGTAGAAGCTGAGAAAAAATAATAAAATTTGAATCTGACGTCAAAATTCTTTACAAAAATACCTTCACTTTCAACAATTTTTCTCCGTCTCTCCAATTTTTTTCAGCCTGATTTATGCAGTAGAAGCTGAGAAAAAATAAAAATTTAAAAAACATTTCTCATTGAATTTCTGTAGCCGATTACTCTAGGCGGCTGATTTTTTGGTAACTACAACATTTTTTTCTCTTTTCTACGAGTATCGCGATTATCGATTTGGCTTTCCCACCTTATTGGCTATACCATTTCTCTCGATGAACTGTTAGATACCACGACGTTCATAACAATCTGCCTGCAAAAACTCTCCAGGAAATAGACTTTGTTTTTATGTCAGAATAAAGGATTTATTTTCTCTTTTTTCACTGCCGGGATATTGCGTGTGTGTTCATTGATTCGCACTCCATCGTGACCTTGTGCGCGACGTTTCCATGCCAACCAGTTCATTAAAGTCGTGGAGACCGCGAGTGAACCGATCCACGCATACGACCATAAAGGCGAAAGCGGTAGCGACGTTCAGTATGCTTGTTAAAAACAAAAGTACCCGAATTTTTTAAGTCGCTCATTCGGACAAATATGATTTTTCCTTCCGTTGTGTCTTTTTTGTGGAAATTATCATTGGCATGCCCTTAATTAATTGTTCCGGGAAAACTGATTTTACAAAGACAATTAAGAAAACGGTTGCATTCACATTGTCGTAATGAATTAATTATCAGATGTTTCGTGACTATGTTTTTGTTTTCACGCTAATTATAATGTCGGAAAGGTTGTGATTAAAGATACTCGTAGCGCTGAGAATATTTCTAAGTATTGACGAAGAAAAAGGTCTGCTTTTTTCGGATGCGAACGACGAAGGCAATTTTTTTAATTGACGGATTGGAGTGTATGTTGCAGTAGAGCTATATCACGCACGCCCCTCGCTCCATTCGCGCTCGACCTCGCCAGCCAGCCGACAAAACTGCAATGCTCTCGCCGTCTCTGTTTGAGGACGAGTAACAACTGCGTAAGTTGGATGCCCATTGCAGGACTTCGGCAGACAAAGCAGACGGCAGCAGTGATGACGCTTCGTCATACTTCGTAACGGATTCTCCGATCAAGCTTCTTTATTAGATTGTGACCCGGATTACGTGATGTAAATATTTGATTGTGTACTCTTCTGCTATACATTTCCGTGACACTCGCCAAACACCAAGTACACGCAACGCATCCAAAGGGGAAGTGATAATGAACTTCGAAAATATGAAATACGCAGTTTACACAATTAAAGCGCACTGTGTTTTACTCGCGGGAGATCCGTGGAGGCCCCGTCGAGTTTTGGGGAACGGCCATCCCAGAGTCGTGCAGCTTAAAACAAGAGAGTGGACCACTTCTTTTCTGCCCCCATTTCCGATAAAAGTTTTTTCACACAAGACATATTATACTAGTAAATAAATAAAAACACGACTCAAAACTAATTAAATTATAACATTAATAATGCAATAATAAAATAAATTTTACTTATGTAGAACCATTTAAGGAGTTGCCAGAGGGCTTGATGGGCCTCTTCGCCAAATGTCGTTAAACAAATCCCCAAATTGCGTGCTGGTATTAAGGAGGGACTCAGAGATTGAAGTAGCATATAATTTCCGTTTTTGAATCTCTCTTCTCAATTGCTGTTAATGAACTACTCCCAAAGTATGCAAGTGACATTTGTTTAATTGTTAATTGAAGCGTGTTCTTCCTTCCGTAATGACTGTCATTATATCATTAAATTTACTCCAGTTTCTCGTAATAATACCACTGAGTACTATCGATTCAGTGGGTAAACAAATAGTTTGATTCATTATTTTGTTTCCAGACATCAACTGCTGGGGTCATTAGTGCTGAAAGTGTAGTACATGTTTTTAACGGTAAGTGGCGGTGTTCTTTCCCCAGCTTGATGGTGAGATTCGGCGCCTACCTACACGTAAGTTGGCAGGATTTTTCCCATTCAAGAATTTCCCACCAGCAGGGCCTCGTCTCAGATGAGACAAGCTATAAGCTTCCGACTTGACTCCTCGACGTGTGAGGTTGTGTTGTGCTTGTAAGTGTGGGGTGGGGATAAGACAAGAATGGGGAAGAAAGATCACGTGCAGTTCATTGTCCGTTTGTCATAGGACACTGCTCCGGCATTCACTAGTGTTGATCGGGGAAACCAGGAAAATCTACCGATCAGAGCAATCGCCAGCTAGAATTTACTTCCAGACAGCGGCCCAATTCTAGGTAGCTATCTATCTAGTGTCGAAAATCCTGCCGCTGTCAGGAGTGGAGCCCTAGAAACTCCCGGTTAAAGGTATTCAGGCACTGTTCATGTCCTGAGCTACCTCAGCCGGTAAAGAAATAGAGTATTAGAGTAGAGAAGTAGAGTAAAGGTGTAGGATATGTTTGTCTGGGCTGGGTCCAATGGGCACGCACCTGGAGTTGAGCATGACGGCGGCCTTGGGCAGGCCGGTGGTGCCGGAGGTGTAGATGTAAAGCAGCGGGTCGCGGAAGCCGGTGGACGGCACGCCCTCTGGCGGCAGAGGCTCCTCCTCGGCCAGCAGCGGCTCCAGCGCCACCGCCCCTCCCTCGCCCACGGCGTCGCCGCCCGCGCCCAGCACGAACAGCGGCAGCTGCCTCTCCACCTCACGCACCGCTGCGCAACCACACACCCACCATCACAACGCGCTTGCACACCTGCCGCCCACACCAATCAAAACCACCACGACCCACTAATCAACAACGCGCGTTAACTGCCGCCCCCACCAATAACCACACGCCCACCAACACAACGCGCTGCACACACTTGCCGCCCACACACACACCACACGACCCACCAATCACAACCGCGTTCACACACTTCCGCCACACCAATTCACACCACACGACCACCATACACGCGCGTGCACACACCCCCACCCAATCACAACGCGTGCAACACACTGCCGCCCACACCTTCACACACACCACCCCACCATCACACGCGCGTGCCACACACGCCGCCACGCCAATCACCCAACACGACCCACCCAATCACAAAGCGCGGTGCACACACTGCCCCACCAATCACAACCAACTACGACCCACAATCAAACGCGCGTGCACACTCCGCCACACCAATCACACACACGACCCACCATCAAAAACGCTGTACACAATCCGCCCACCATCACACCACACGGACTCACACAATACAATCGCGCTAACAACTGCCGCCACGCCAATCACACACACGCCCACCAATCACAACGCCTCACACCTGCCGCCCACGCCAATCACACACACACCCACCAATCACAACGCGCTTAAACACTGCCGCCCACGCCATCACACCACCACACCAAATCAAAACGCGCGTGCACCACACTGCCGCCGCCCCACCAATCATACCAACGACCCACCAATCACAACCGCGTCACACACTTGCCGCCCACCCATCACACCACACACCCACCATCGCAACGCGCTGCACACACTGCACCCCCACACAATTCACCCACACCACCCACCAATCAAACAAGGGCTGCCATCACACTGCCGCCACACGCACAATCACACCACACACCCACACATCACAAACGCGCGTGCACCACTGCCGCCCACCACATGCCACACGCGCGTGCATGCACACTGCCGCCCACACATCACACCACACACACCCACAATCACAACCGCGGGTGACACACTGCCGCCCCCACCAATCACACCACAGCACCCACCCAAATCACAACGACGCGTGCACACACTGCGCTCCACGCCAATCACACCACAACCACCACAATAATTCATAACGCCGCGTGACACCACTGCCGCCCCACCAATACACCACCACCACCACAACCAATCATAACGCGCGGCACACACTGCCGCCCTACACCCATCACACCACACACCCACCATCACAACGCGTGCAACACACTGCGCCCATGCCAATCACACCACACGCGACCCCCAATCACAACGCGTGCACACACTGCCGCCCCACGCATCACACCAACACACCCACCAATCCACAACGCGCGTGCACACACTGCCGCCACACCAATAACACCATCACACCCCACCACGCGCAAAATCAACACCCACCACAATCACAACGCGCTGCAACTCGCCACACACACCCACGATCCACCCAATCCAACCCTTGCAACAGCCACACAACCACACACGACCCACCAATAACAACGCGCGTGACACACTGCCGCCACACCAATCCACACCACACTACCACCAACTCACAACACGGCGCTGCACACACTGCCGCCCAATCAATCACACCACAGACCCACCAATCACAACGCGCGATGCACACACGGCCGCCACACCCTATCAACACCACACGACCAACCATCACAACGCGCTTGCACACACTGCCCCACACCATCACACCACACGACTCACCAATCACAACGCGCGCACACACTTGCTCCCACACCAATCACACTAACACATCCACCAATCACAACGACGCGTCACACCCACGCCCACACCCATCCACACAGCGACCCCAATCACACGCGCGTTGCACACGCCACACCGCCATACCAATCACACCACCGACCACCAATCACAACGCGCGTGCACACACTGCCGCCCCCACCAATCACACCACACCACCACACAATCACAACGCGTGGCACACACTTGCCGCCCAGCATCCAATCACACCACACGACCACCAATCAACCAACGCCTGCACCACACTGCCGCCCACCAAGTCACACCACACGACCCACCAATCGTAACCGCGGCACCACACTGCCGCCCACACCAATCACCACCATACACACCCACAATCACAAACGCGCGTGACACACTGCCGCCCACCTCCAATACACCAGCACGACCCACCAATCACAACGGCGTGTGCAGCAACACTGCCGCCACACCAATCATCTCCAATTATTTCCCGAACCAAATCAGCGCCACTTCTTCCTCTGTCCACAATAATGATCACATAACACATCACCATCACACAAATCATACCGCACGAGACACACAAAATCACTCACGCGCACGCCACACCTACACCAATCATTCACGCCAATCATCCCCAAACCATTCACCACTCACACTCTTTCTCTGTCGGACACCAATCATTCGCAATACATCACACCTACAATGTACTCACTTACAAACCGCTTAAGCCAATCATCACGTACGCGCATATCACGCATACAATTCTGTGTCAGCTAAACATATATTACGTGGATGATTGAGAAGTATTAACGCAAAATTTTGAATGGTAAATATTTGTCCTTTCGGTTGTAGGTAACTGGAAGTGAATCTTCGTTGATAAGTGATGATGTAGCTGTTATAATATCAATCATTGAAATGCATAATCATACATATGATGCTAATGTAAAATATGTTATGTTTGGCTTAGAAACACAACAAAATATTATATTGACAGTTATCGCTTCTTATTAAAGAATCTTTGGTCCAAAGAGACCTGGCAAATTACATCTGCCATAAGTGTAAATAGACGCATCTCTACTCCTTGGCGGCTTTTATTATTTTTTTGGAAAATGGATTATAATTGAAGTTCTTAATTTACGTTTTTGTATCAGTTAGAGTATAATGACATTAAACGCATCCAGAAACGACAAATTGCATCTAGGAGCAAAAAGCACCATAAGGCGAACAAAAGAACTCAGTAGAACAATCACTTGGGGGATCAAATGCTAAACCTGGACAATTGTACACTGGGCGCGAACAATTATACCTGGGGGGAACAATGGTACCTGGGAGAACAAGATGTATTAAGCGAAAATGTACGTAATACGACACAAATGTCCTGCCCCCCGCTGCGCAACAAGTTTACCTAGCTGCCGAACAAGTTTTACCCTGCTGCGAAAAGGTTACCTGCCGGCGATACAATTTGACCTGCGCGAACAAGGTTTTACCTGCGGCGAACAATTTTACCTGCGGCCGAACAAGTTAACCTGCGGCGAACACGTTTACCTGCGGCGAACAAGTTTACCTTGCGAGCGAACAAGTTACCTCGGCGAACAAGTAATACCTGCGTGCGAACAAGTTTACCTAGCGGCGAACAATTTACCTCGCGAACAAAGTTTACCATGCTGCGAACAATTTACCTGCGCGAACAAGTTTACCTGCGCGAAACAAGTTTACCTCGGCGAACAAGTATACCTCGGCGAAAGTTTACCTGCGCGAACAAGTTTACCTTGCGCGACAAGTTACCTCGGCGAACAAGTTTACCTGCGCGAACACGTTTTACCTGCCGGAACAGTTTTACCTGCGGCGAACAAGTTTACCGAGGCGAACAAGTTACTGCAGGCGAACAAGTTTACCTGAGGCGAACACGTTTACCTGCGGCGACACTACGGAACATTTACATGAAGCACAAAGTTCTGCAACAAGCTTACCTGCGGCGACAAAGTTACCATGCCGTTCGAACAATTACCTTGCGGGAACCAAGTTACCTGCGGCGACAGTTTACCAAACGTTACATGCGGCGAAAAGTTTACCTGCGAGCGAACAAGTTACTCGCAACGTTACGCTGGCGAACGTATGAGGCGAACACGTTATCCGCGGCGAACAAGGTTTAACTTCGACAATTACCGCGGCGAACAAGTTTACCTGCGGCAACAAGTTTACCTGTCGGCGAAAACAAGTTTACCTGGGCGAAAAGTTTACCTGCGGCGAAACAAGTCTATACCTGGCGCAACAAGTTTACCTGAAGGCGAACACGATTACCTGAGAGCGACACGTTACTCGCACATTGATCTGCGAACAAGTTTAACCTGCGGCGACAAGTTACCAGGCGCAGTTACCCGCGAACGATTTGACTCAACAAGTTTACCCTGCGAGCGAACAAGTTATGCGAGCGAAAAATACCTTGACAGTCCTCGGCGAACAAGTTTACCTGCGGCGAACAAGTTTACCTGCGGCGACAAAGTGACCTGCGCGGAACAGTTTACCTGACGGCGAACAAAGTTTACCTGGGCCGAACACATTACCTTAGTGCAACAGTTCCGGCGAACAAGTTTACCTGCGGCGAACACATTGCTTGAACGGCGAACAGTTTTACCTGGCGAAACAAGTTCTACACTGAGGCGAACAATTTACCTGGCGCGAACAATTTACCTACGGCGAACAAGTTTCTGGAGGCGAACAAGTTTACCTGAGGCGAACAAGTATGCGAGCGAACAAGTTTACCTGCGGCGAAACAAGTTTACCTGGCGAAACATACCTACAACGAAGTTTAACCTAGGCGAAACACAGTTTACCTGCGGCTGAACAAGTTTACCTGCCGATCAGGTTAACATCGGCGGAACAAGTTTACCTGCCGGCGAACAATGTTACCTGCCGGCGAACACAGTTACCTGCGGGCGAACAAGTTTACCTCGAGCGAACAAGATCGCAGTTTACCTGCGAGCGAACAAGTTTACCTGAGGCGAACAAGTACCGCACACTACGAGGGACCGTTAACCGCGCAATTTACCTTGGGACAAGTACCAGCCGAAACAAGTTTACCTGGCGAACAAGTTTACGCGACCTGCCGGGCGAACAAGTTTTACTCGGCGAACATATGCGTGCGAACAAAAGTTTACCCGAGCGAACAAGTTTACCTTGTGCGCACAAGTTTACCTGGCGAACAAGTTTACCTGCGGCGAACAAGTTTACCTGGGACGAAAAGCCAAGTTTACCTGCGCGAAACAGTTTACCTGCGGCGAACAAGTTTACCTAAGACCGGGCGGCGAAGCAAAGCTTTACCTGGGGAAGACCGAGCGAACAAGTTTACCTGAGGCGAACAGGTTAAGCAACAAGTTTACCTAGCAACAAGTTTAGAGGCGCATGTTGCCTGAGGGAACAAGTTACCTGAGGCGCGAACAAGTTACCTCGGCGAACAAGTTTACCCTGACAGTTACTGGCGAACAAGTTTTAGCCTGAGCGACAGTACCTAGCAGACAGTTTACCTGAGCGAAACAAGTTTCCTGAGGCGAACAATACTGAGGCGAGTTGCCTGCGGCGAACAAGTTACTGCCGAAAATTTGACGCGCAAACAGTGTTACTGACAATTCTGCGCGAAACAAGTTTACCTGCGGAGCAACAAGATTTACCTGAGGCGAACAAGTTTACCGTGACGGCGAACAAGTTTAACCTGCGGCGAACAAGTTTACCTGAGGCGAACACGTTTACTCTGAGGCGAACACAATGCCTTTACTGGCGAACAGTTTACCTGAGCGCGAACAAGTTCTACCTAGCAACCAAGTTTACCTGAGGCGAAACAATATTTACATGAGCGAAACCAAGTTTACCCTGAGCGAACAAGTTTACCTCGGCGACAATTTTTACCTGAGGCAACACGTTTACCTGAGTAGCAACAAATCCTTGTTGGCAACAACAACATGCCTTGTTCGAACCAACGCACCTGGGGCGAGCGCGGCGGAGGCGATGATGGCGCGGCTCTTGGCGACGCGCAGGCTGTGTGCGAGCGGCCCCTGGCGCAGGTTGGTGTTGACGAGGGCCGTGACGACGCGCAGCTTGGCCAGCCCCAGCCACAGGCAGACGAACTCCGGCCGGTTCTCCATCACCAGCGACACCGCGTCGCCCTCGCCCAGCCCCTGCTTCCGGAAGACGCGCGCCACCTTGTTGCTGTACTTCTCCACCTGCGCACACACATCCGGTTCAGCAGACTGTGGAAGACTGGGGGCACTAATCTACACGATTTGCTGGAAATAAAACATTATTTAATGTGTTGAAAATGATTTGTAGAAGGTATCTGATGACTCGGTTTGCTTGGTGCCACCGGCTGGTATATTTGCACTTTACTACTAAATAATAAAAATATGTTTTATACGTATCTGAAGATATTGATGATTCGTTTAGCGTGGTGCCTCCTGCTTGTGTAGAGGAGTTTCCCTATGAAGGGACCACTATGACTGGTTGCAAAACAAATTAACGTGTAGGGCGATGGCATCGCAGGAGACTTGAGATGAATCCATTTATAAATGCGCTAACTTTTAACGAACGCATCAATGAATTCCGTGTAAGTGCATAACCTGCAGTTATGTTGCCAGCAGAAGCAGTCAAAGCGGTCACTTTTTATATTAATCTCTTTATAAATTCGTGCTTTGCTAGTTAATAATACAAATAATTTTAAAACAGTACAATTGTTTGCTTCCTCAATTTTCAGGCATACAAAGAAAGTGTCATGAAAATGTATCGGTTAAAATAATTGTTTCAATTTTTTGCTTCATAACGAAATTAAATTTGTCAGACGGATGAGTGAAGTAACAGTTTATTGAAATGTCGGAATGAGAGTATGGTTATACACATTTTTTCACTGGTGTATTGTAGATCCATTGAAACTATCAAAACATGTGTTTATTGTAAAATTCTTACCAAGAATGTGCCAGTCAGTTTGTTTTGTCACGGGAAATCGAATGCGCTATTGTTCACATCTTTCAATGCCGAAAGACACCCCCAAAACGCGTGTTATTTACTTCAAAAACAATGTTTAAAAATTCTTACGTTAGAATATTGTAGTTGGATCCGAAATCATCCGTTTCCCACCAGGAGACAAAGATGCATCGATTCATCATTGGACTGAATTTGTGGACCGAAAGTGTCTGACCGTACGTGACAGACGGACGCAAATTATTTATGGAAGGGGATGGCTAAGCCCAAAATTGCTAATAACATAACATACAAAAATGTGGGTAAATGCAACCCCTTTTCTTCACGTATTTGCTACGTCAACGACACACCACGAATATATCAATTTTCAAAAAGTAATTTACATTGGACCGCCAGACTTCGATGGATATTCGCAATTTCTTTCTCGACCAGTGTGATCACGTGCTTGCAAAGCTGTGCATCCACCGATGACAGCTATCATTCACTACATTGTCCTTTAAGATTTATTCGCGGTAGGTCATTGCTATTACTTTGTCGTGAATAGTGATTGCAAAACTTTCCGCTTCTGCATACAAATCACCTTTTGACTAACATTTTCGATAATTAAATTTTTATAGTTAAATCTATCGTCATCCTTTGCCGAGTTGTGAAAGTAAGAATCTGAGTGTGATAATCCCAAAGATATTTAGGTTTCCACTGCTGTAAGAGGGCTTCGGAGGTCGCGGATACATTTATTGTAGTGTATATGCAGTCAGCAGATGTTAAGGCTGACAGTAGGCCACTTGTATTTGATCTGAAGTAATCTTTAAGAATTTTTAATGTGGCTTCTGCTTTGATTTTTATGTGGATGAAGTCTACCAATCCACTTGCGCCATCTTCCCATGGCTCTATTTAGTTGCGAATCCGGTATTTAGTTAAAATTATCGGGAATCCCATTAACTGTGTTCCGACTGTCGTCATTTAAAACATCAAATGACTATGTGCTAAAGTGCTGACACTATCCATCTGTTAATTCCTTCTATTATTACTATTATTTTTAATATTACTTCATATGGCGTTCGACAGTTCAGAGAAGCGAACGCCTCAGCGGGAATCGAACACTGATCTCCCGGTATACGTCACTTTCTCTAACCATTCGAGTGACTGAGACAATCAGTTCTTTGGACAGTCTTCAGAAGCTAAGAACCCCTATGTCAGTTTCATTTTACATTTCACCATCTGGTCACAAGGTAACCATCGCAGGGGATCTTAACTCCTCAAGGCTGTTCTAAGAGATTTTCCTTTCGGTAGCTCAAGTGATAGAAAAACTTACTCTTGAAGACATTGTGAAACGTAAAATAATATTACGATTATAAATTGATATCATTATTTATAAATATCATTAAAATTATATTAAATTCTTATGCTAATATATTATATTACAAGGAAACTAAAGACGATGTTGAACCATTATATGAAACGAACATAAAACTCCGTACGTGTGCTTCTGCAAGTGTTACCCGTCAAACAGATTTAAATCGAAAGAATAGAAGTTTGCATTCACGAGGGTTAGAAACCAGCAGAAACTGGGATTCATCACCATCATCATCAACATCACCATCTTCTTCTTCATCTTCTTTTACTTCGCTCTTATGACTGTTCCTGAAATTGACCGGTAGAAGTGTAAAGGTAGTTGAAAGAACAGATCTTTTAATTTACACAACATATTTTTTTCACCGACATTCTTTACATAATATGAACACTGGGAAAATGGAACTCGTGATTTTTAAGGAAATATGATTACCTACTGTTTAATATTCATCGCTTGACATCAGCTATGTCGTAAATAGGGCCGTACTAAGTATAATATTTCAGTCTGAAGGCGCAATTTGATAATAGTTGGAATAGAATAACCAAATATTTGAATTTTTCAGTCGTAACCTAAACAGAGTTTTTCGGTATCTAACAACCTGTATTCCTATAACATGGCCAGAGGCTCTGTAGTTTATAATACAGGGTGAGGCACCTAAGTTGGCCACAGCAAATATCTCCGAAACGGTTTGAGGTATCGGAATCCAGTTTGCGCTAATTTGTAGCAGATGATGTGGGAAATAACACATATCGTTTTCGTGTATGTACCATTTTTAATTGCGAAGATATTGTTGCAACTTTAGTTTTTTAAATGGAAGTATATATTTTTCAGCAGCATTATAAAGGTCTCAAAGAGAGGAATACAATGATATAAGTATTGTTAATATTTGAAGAGAAAGTGTAGAAAAAATGTGTTTTGTATTTCCTCAGAAACCTTGTCATTCGAGTCTTTCCGAAACAGTTTTTCGGCAGGCAGAAAGTTTCGGTCCGTTGCCGCCACAGCGCTCTGCTATAGAGAGAAATTGGTCGCTAAACTGTTCACGAGCGGGAGTTCACAGTTGTAGCAACTTGTGAGAAGGTGAAACATCTCTCAACACTTCCTGTTCAACGTTGGCTTTCGTAATGAAATTTACAAACGAAGAAAAACTCGATGCTGTTCTTATTTACGGTGAGTGTGGAAGGAACGCAAAGCAAGCAGCGGAAATCTACGTGAAAAGATATCCTAATCGGAAGCGTTTGTCAAGAAAAACCTTGGTAAGAATATGCCGACGTTTGTTATCAAGCGGTGACTGTAATTCAAAAACTCGTGAGAGAACGAAACCTGCTACTGGTGAAGACAAGGCAGTAGATGTTATGGCATGTGTGGCTGCACACTGCCATGTGGGTTTGCGAAAGATTGCTAGACTCGGGTAGAAGTAAGAGAAGTGTTACTTCACCGGTACAAATTCCATCCGTTCCACGTTAGCCTTCACCAGCAGTTACATGAAGGTGATTATGAACAACGTGTTCAATTTTGTAGATTTATCTTTATGCCACTGAGAGACGACAAAATATTCGTAAACAGAATACTTTTCACCGATGAAGCGACTTCACAAACCATCCACAAGTAAACCTAAGAAACATGCACTATTGGGCGACGGAGAACCCAAGGTGGATCCGTCAAGTGGAAAACCAGCGGCAGTGGAGTGTGAATGTCTGGTGCGGGATCATTGATACTTTTATCATCGGGCCGTACTTCATTGAAGGAGAAATGACAAGTCAAATATATTCTACATTCCTGAAAGAGATCTTGCCAGCGTTGCTACATGAAGTTCCTTTGGAGTTGCGTCTTGGCATGAGGTATCAGCACGACGGTTGCCCTGCACATTCTGTTGAAGTGTCAAGGGCAGTTCTAAATGAAACATTTGCAGGTCGCTGGATAGGAAGAGGTGGTGCGGTGAAATGGCCATCTCGGTCACCTGATCTCACACCACTTGATTTCTTTCTGTGGGGAAGTTTGAAGAATACTGTATACGCAAACATTGCTTCGACTCCAGAAGATATGAAGAGGAACAGAAGCTTGTGGCAAGATAACGCAAGAAACGTTCCAATCCGTGCGACGGTCGCGGGAAAGGAGACTGCAAATGTGTATTGCCGTGGACGGTAAACTTATTGAGCACATGACGTGAAGACTACTCCGTGTTCTATTTTATGGAATGTAAATTTCTTTTATGCGTGCTAAAGGTCTTATTTTTATCAATACTGTGCTTCATTGTTTTGCTTTCTTGTATTTAAGTTCTTATGTTACTGCACTGGCTTGAAGCATACCAAACGTATTCTGTGTAAATAACTTTGCTGTCAAAGGAATAAAATTTGTATTCCACAATGCAGAATGTACCGTATTGTTCAATCAATTAATCAGAAAACGACCGAATTTACACTTTACTTGGACGCACTCAAAAAATGTAAATTTGGTATTTGATGGTCTTAAATTATTACGTTGTTGCATTCCTTTGTTCCTCTTCCTAACATATAATTCATAATGTATTTTTTACTGCAATAGATGTAGTATGCAGGTAGTTTTAGAAAGTACTACCATTCAATACATTTTTAGTATGCCATTCTAATTACAAAACAACAATATGTTTTACTTTCCGCCTCATTTATAGTATATCTACAGTATAATAAAGAAAATATTCAATTCTCTTCATAAATTTGTGACAAACTAAATTAATTTTTGATTTTTTATTACATTTAATTAATAAAAATTGTCACTTACAGATTTTCGGACGGTTACACGTCGATATCACTTCACGACCCTCAGCCGCGGGCAATGTTGACTCGTGAAGGCGAGGTCGGATGTTGAAAGTTAGAAAGATAGAATCTTGCTACAAGCAATGTCACACGCACTTTCAGTAAA